ATATAAATTCAAAATCACCAAAAAATGTAAAAATTGTCAATTTTTACTAGCATAACTCCTTATGCACACGTTTCAGTTTGTTTGAAATTAATAGCTTCAAAAATGTTGAAGCTATAGATCTTTCAAGATTGCAATACACGTCCAATTCTGCTCAAAAAGCAGAAGTTTAGCGACTTGTTTCTCTGTAGCCCGAGGGCATATGACAAAATCCTTTCACCCTCAGAGGTTTCACCCAATAGCCAATAAGTATACCAAGTTTGAACAAAATCGCAGAGGTGGCCGATTTTGGCTGTCCCGGTTGACATGGAATGCCCCTGTAATCACAGATTTAGCCTTGAGCCCGCCGGTCCCTACCCCTGGGTGAAGCGGTGAAGCAAACAAATCATCCACATCACGGCAGTAATAACCAGGTTCTGCATGTTGCCGTGACTGGGCGACTGCAGTGGCTTCAGCCTTCAGCAAGCTGCACGCTCCCAACAGTCCCACTTACCATATTGAAGGGACGGCACAGCGGCGGCGGCCGTCAGAAAACGAGGTGATATCACCTGGTGACGAGGTTCCTTTCAGGGTTAAAAAGACCTCCCGGCCATGCCGTTCCGTTTTCTATTCATTTTCACACAAAAAAAAGATGTGTAAAGCATACTTCTGTTGCCGGAGCGACTCCCCGACCACTCGCTGCCAGCTCGATTGCCTGAGTCGTTTTTTCCAAATACTCTGACCGTTTCTGTTTCCTGCCTCCGTCTCCCACACATCTCGAACCGATTCCGTCTCCGAGCTGTCTCCGTTTACCGGTAAATTGGGCAGACCGGGACGGAGAGGCGGATAATTTTGGCCTCCTGCCACCACACCGTGAGCTCGCTCTGTGACCGCCGCCGGCGACAGCTCAGTGGCGCCCTCTGAGGCTGGGGAGGAGCTCGCTCGCGCAGGAGCGGCTGTCGGGACCGCCGCCACCGCCGGAACGATGCTGCTCAGACTGGGTTCGGCCGCCGCCCGGTCCGCGAGTCTGCTGCTCCAGCGACGTGCTCACAGGTGAGAGCCAATTACATCTGCCGTGAACAAGTGAGAGAGGTGAGAAGCGCGGCCTCCACCACGGAGCGGCCTCGTGCGGGGGAGAGGTGAGAGCATTGTGAGAGGACGTGTCAGGGATATACCACGGGAGACACATCAGCGGTGACCCCAGAGAGGTATCAGAGCTAGGCGTAGTCTGAAGGGTTTTAAATAGGATATGTGTACAGTGGATAACATTGCCGAGTTATACGAGACGGTCGGGTTTACCAGCCGAATCACGTGGTAAACTGCACCCAGATGCGCGGGTCGTAATGTGTAGTGCGCGCCTGAACTCGCCGCTCCCTATCAGCAACTGTCTCGCCGGTCCTTTTGAGCTTTCCGTTCTAGTTAGCTCGCTGTCAGAGATGTGTCACACACGCCGGGGTGCTGGCAGATGTCGAGCCCCGGGCCGAATGGCAAAAACCGACGGAAGTCCGACCCACAGTTCCAGATAGTGAGCTTCTTTCTCTGAAAATGGGCGGCAGTGGCGATATGAGACAATTTGTATCTTGCGTGAGTCGGAATCAAACAATGAAATGATCGTTCATCAGTTCGCTCGTTCAGAATTGGGACTCTGGATTGAATCATCCGATCAGTACACAGAGCCATGGGCCATGTCTAATCAATCCAGTCCACCGTTTCTTGGATTTGACAATCAGTTCAGTCGCCGCCGCAGATCCATCCAATCAGTACGCGGCCAGGCAGGCGGAGGAGCCGACATACCTCGTCCGCCTGACCGCCCACATCAAAGTCGAGACGACCGCCCCGCGTGACGCCTCAAGGCTGACGACGGACAGACACTAGACAGACAGAAGAACAATGCGGCCGACACATCCTGACATCGGCACCGGAACGTCTGTGTCAGTGACCCCAGGGGAGGTCTCTAATTAGCTCGCCTGTGCTCATCAGATGCACTGAAATTAACAGCACTATAGAACGTAACACTTCAAACGAATAGTCACAAAAAAATATTTTCAAGTGAGCTAGCATGACTAAACCTTATATGACGAATCATGGTCATTCGTTTATTTGAATATCAAAAGACCATACGCGTGAAGGTAGTGGAACGATTTGACCAATCACGTGCAATGTTCCTAACGCCAGCCTTGGCCAGTGTCGTTTACAATGCAATCTGCATTGACTCTTCAGTCCCCAGGTCGCTAAAAAATAGCGAATGCACTATCACGAGCTGTCTCATCATTCCGATGCGACTCAGCCGACTGCTCATATTAGTATCCCGACTGTCCCTGTCCGGGGTTCGCCGTCGTCCACCGACCGCCGCCTCCCTCATGGCCCATGGCCGGCCGGCCCGACCCAAGGTCACAGCCGGTAGTCGGTACCACCGGCACCGACCGCAGAACCCTCCAATTAGCCCGGCGGGCCAGACACCCGGGACGTCGACACTGAACACACCGGCTCGGGGAGCACACATCCGACTCATAACCCGACAGAACACGTCATAACCCACTGCTAAACGGAGCAAATCCACTAACACCAAACGGAACGCATCTCGATCCGAGAGATCGATCAAACTGAAACCCGAGCACACACCCGACCAGAACACCAGACGTACCGAATACATACCTAACACACGACCTATCACCAACCAAACAGAATCAAGCCGGCCGGGTTCCATCGGCGTACGAAACACACCCACAGCTCAGAGTTCAGACTGGGGCGGTGAGCGAGACCGATCCATCACACCGTGTGTAGATCGGCCGGTGCCGCGGGGCGTGCCGATCGAACACCGTGACGCCGCCTGATACCGAGCCGGAGGATGCCAATTATGTGGTGTTCGCAGGGACACACTTAAATACATGCATCTGTCTATAAAAAGGTGACAGAAATGTGAGCCCTATTCCCTACCCGACGCTTTTGTAGGTAGTGCGAATCAGTAACAGGTCACTTGTTACCCTCCCTCCCACAGGTGCTCGAGGTCGCCATTAGCACGCGACATGTCCGGCTCGGCGCGCGTCTGGGTGCTGGCCGCGCGGCCCGAGGGAGCCGCCAAGGCCTCAGACTTCCAGCTGAGGGACGAACCGCTGGCCGAGCCGCAGGAGGGCGAGGTGCTGGTAGAAGCCGAGTTCCTCAGCGTGGACCCGTTCATGCGCGCGTTCGCCTCGCAGCTGCCGCTCAACGAGCCCATGCCCGGCACCCAGGTGGCCAGGTGAGCCATCAGGGGGAAAAGATGGGGGGCAGGGGCAGATTAGGGATGGGGGGAGGGATACACAGATGGGATAGGGGAGGCGAGCGAGTCACAGCTGGTGGCGACGGTCGGGTAATGGGAAAATAATGACCGATTTTAGGTGGGAGTACGTCGGTGCTAACAGTGAGCAGAGTTTTAATGACATTCGCCAACATGTCGTGCCCGGACCGACCAAACACGTCCATCGGGAGAGCTATGCAGATGGACTACCAGAAGAAATTATCATCGACTAACCCATGCATCTGCCGAAAAGGTGATCCAGTACCGCAGTGACCTGTCCCTACACTGCCAGGCGATGTCACTGCAAACTGGCGGTGAAGCGCCCCGCCACCTCCCTCGGACAGGACGGTGAACCTTGGAGTGACCTGACTTGACCCACGCCCCCTCTGCCGACAGGGTGGTCCAGTCCCGCAGTGAGCAGCTCCAGGAGGGCCAGCGGGTGCTGGTGGCCGCCGGATGGAGGGAGCGCTCCGTGGTGCCGGCGGCCGGCCGGCCGGGCGGCGCTCCCGTCATCCCACTGCCGGCCGAGGCGCCCGTCAGCCACTCCCACTACCTGGGCGTGGTGGGTATGACCGGGCTGACGGCCTACTGCGCCGTGCACGACCTGCTGCGACCGCGCGCCGGCGACACGCTAGTCGTCAACGCCGCCGCCGGCGCCGTCGGATCCGTCGTCGGACAGCTCGGGAAGCTGCTCGGCGCGCGCGTCATCGGCTACGCCGGCGATCAGGAGAAGGTGGACTGGCTCAAGTCGACGCTGAAGCTGGACGAGGCGTTCAACTACAAGACGCAGGACCTGGCCGAGACGCTGCGCGCGGCCGCGCCCGACGGCGTCAACTGCTACTTTGACGCCGTGGGCGGCAAGTTCTCCCAGACGGTGGTTCGGCACATGGCGGATGGCGGGAGGATCGCCTGCATCGGCGCCAGCAGCGGCTACAACAGCGCCGCGCCGCCCACCACCGGGCCTTTCCCTGAGATCAGCATCATCACCAAGCAGCTGACCATCTCGGGCTTCCAGTACTTCGCGCAGGACCTGACCTCCGAGAAGATGCAGAAGGCGCGCGCCGAGCTGGCCCAGCTGGTGGCTGACGGAAAGCTGGAGGCCAGGCAGACGTTCACTGACGGGTTCGAGAACATGGCGCAGGCCCTGCTGGACATGATGGACGGCAAGAACACGGGGAAGATGGTGGTGCGCGTCTGAGACGCCCGTGGAGCAGCGGTGTCCTTCGCGCGGGGGCGCGGCTAAACAGGGTAGGGATCTCGGCGGGGATTCTGTCACACAGCACTGTCACTGAACTTGTGCGATGGATCGGTTCTATTTTCATACACGATTCTCAGATGGTAGGTATAGTGATCCGACTCGATGACAAGGTTTTGGGAATATGAGTTTCTGCTGTCCTGTGTTATCGAGTGCGACTTTTCTATAAACAGCGTGTACCCAGCGATGTTTGTGCCTTGTGGATTGCTGTTGGCTTTACATTAGCAATGTGTTCGGTGCATTACTTGACCGATACATTATATCTTCAACCTCCATATATGCACATTATCAACTCTCTCTCCTCCTGACCGGGGCATATGAAACAAGAAGATATCACGGTCTATCAATGATACTTCGACGCGGGTGTCGAGGTAAACATGCCTCAGTAGAGACTAACGCCGGTTCGACGGCATTCAACTCGGGATTGCCAAATGAACAAAAAAAAAATGCAAATAGGAAACAGGGGAGATAGCCTGAAATGACAAACGGAAATAAAATCACACTATATTTTCAAAACACGGGCGATGGTCATCCCGATGATTCAGTGCATAAGCCACGGCATGCCCATTACCAAGAAGTTCTGACTTTCCAAGTTCGTACCGAGACGTTTTTGGCACCCGGCTTACACAAACAGCAAATTAACTTTGTGGGAAAAAAATGAATGTGAAACAAATGCGTGAGCATTATAATGCATGTACGGAATAGGCTTTGCTGGCCGTCGCAAAAGTTACATCGCCTTTTACATTTACAGCCATTAAACCGCAATATATGTTTTGCGAACGGAAAGAGATAAGCATAGAGTAACGGAACACGTAATTGTTTTACAAAAGAGAAAGTCATCGGTTCTTCACTGAAAAGCAAATGCTATCTGCGCAACCAGCCACTTGACACCACGACAGGTTATGTAAAGTCAGTCTTTGTCTGTCTGTTAGACTTAGGAATCTAAAATTGAATGCGTTTTTGATATACCAACGCTTCAAAAAGGTAGTGACGAAATCCAAAACGTAACACGAGAACGTTCACAAGAAGGCTTGTCACTAGCTAGACAATTCGACGCACATGGAAACAGATACGTATTGTCCTCGCAGCAATATACCCCATAAATGGCGCCACAAAAGAGCGCCATACTTCACAGTCCACAACACAGTTAATCGCTACACCAGTCAAACACTCACCAGTTTAACGTTGTCCCGTATCACCTTCACCTGAGGCATCTTCTTCAGCTTCTTATCCAGCTTCGCCCAGATCTCCTCCTTGCTGGTGTTTGGCTTTCCCTCACAGCCGCGGCACTCGTACTCGCTCACCACTTTCTTCCGCAGCTTCTTCAGCGACAGCTCGTGGTCGTCACGGTTGCCCAGCAGAGCCAGCACCACACCGGTCCAGTCGAACTTTTTCGACGCCTGCGCAGAGGCCAGCGAAGCCTCGTCCAGGGTGTCGTTCAGTCGCTCTACGGCCGGCTCTGCCTCCAGCTTCCGTTTCTTCGCGCCGCCACCGCACTCCTCGTCCGGGATACCTTCATCGACATCATCGTCGGCCTCTTCGTGCTTCCTTTTGCCCTTCTTGACACCATTCTCCTCAGGAGCGCCATTCTGAGCCAGTTTGTTCTTCTTCTTGCTACGTTCCATCTTCTTCTCCCTCTTACTCTTCTTAACGACCGGTGCATCTTCCGGTACCGTTTCTTCAGGGATAGGTTCGGAGTTCGCTTTTTTCTTCTTTTTCTTCTTACTAGTAGCATTGTCAAGCATCTCCTCTTTACTTTCAGTTCCTTGAGAGGCATCATTCTCCTTCTTTTTCGCGGTGGCTGTCACCGCCGGCGCCTCCTCCGCTGGTTTCGCTATGGCCGCCTCGAATATTTTCCACGCCTCTTCCACCAGCACGCTGTTCCGTACCCGAATGCTGTTGCTCACGAAGTTCAGGAACTTCTTCTTCTTGCGAGGAATGTTGCTGTGCTGAGACAATGTCGCCAGGAGATCCCGAACAGCAGGAGATATATCAGTAGTCTTTCCCACGACATTGTTGATCGATTCGATCCACGCTTCCTGCTTTCTTTCTCCTTTATTAGCACTGGCCTTTGGCTCCCAACCCTTAGCAGCATACTTAGCTTCTTCAGAGATACATTTGTTGTGTTGTTTGTAATCCTCACCCCAAAAGTCCTTACCACAGTCCATGCAGGAAAGACTTTCACATCTCCTACACTGCTGCTGATAGTGTTTTTCAACTTGGTTTTTCTTCACTGAAGCACCACATGCATTGCATGCAAATACCACCATTGTTTCTTTCCTCTGAAAAAGGAGAAATAATACTGTAAACTGAAGCAGCAGTCAGATAGCCATCAGAAATTTTTTTATGACAATGCTGAAATCATAAAACATTGACATGCTCACTGCTTTTCTAGCAAGGAGTCATTCAAGAAGCAAGATTTGAGACTAAAAGGCAATAAACTGGCTGTTGACTGACAGAAGGAGTATTAACACCTTCTCTCCCAGCTTTTTAGTGGTATATTTGTTTTTTACTTGCAAATACCACCCTGTTATGTGAACAATGTGTCCAACAATATGCCCACAGGCATTGTGCCACTTCTTGGTGGAAACAAATAGGCACTTGGTGGGAAGGGTAGCTGCAAATTCAGTCATAGCTAAAAAAATAACAGAATCAAACACACAATTAAGGTTCAAGTTATCTCAATTACTCAGCAGATACTGCCATTGGCTCGGGGGAGGGGAAGGTAGTTACTCAAAAACGTCAAAGATAAACTGCTTGAAATATGAATCATCTCAAATTTCAAAAACATAGATCTATTTTCATTCAATCATTTTACATTTATTCACTTGTTACTTTGACTTTGTTAGTCGATAGAGCACCTCGAGCATTCATGAAAAAAACTCAACTGATAACTCAACTAAAAACTCAACTGAACTGATATAAAAAGTTAACTATCCTTACAGATGAGGCCTTACGTATGTTCACTAATTTTTCGTTGAAACCTTCTAACACAAATGCGGTATATCAATCCATTATATGCTAAAACCGATAAATGAAATCACTCAACACACCCGTGCGGGCCGTGCGCACTGCACACACAAAGCACGTGTTGAACCTATGCGCCGCTGATGTAACAACTGCGCCATCAAATGCTGTTTTGGTAAATATATGTTCTAAAGCCGATGCTAAATCGGCCGATTTAGCCGATTTAGCAGGTTGCTAGGAGAATTGTCGTTGAGGTTCATATTTGACGACAAGTTGCTAGGAAACGTCCGAGTCGATCCGTATTTCATACCTTCTTAGAACAGTACGAATATGTATTGTATTGCAATACATTCGTACGGCTGTATTTGTGTTGATATTGCAGTTTGGCTGTATTAGTGAAGTATTTAGTATCGTAAAGCCGTGGTACGATATCGGCAGATATCGGTACATCATTCTGTCATTTTTCTATACACCGCAACCTACCTTGTGTCAATATTAAATCGCCTACCTATTGGTCCCTCGGGCCTCGGCCCCTCCACCTCGGGAGGCTATTTGGTTAAGGGGCCTTGGGCTTTTGTGCTGTTTCGTTCTGAGAAAAAAACGAGACTGAAGCTCAAGCAGCTAAAGACGTCATCTGCGGCCGGGCCAGATGGTCTTCACCCTCGCGTCCTCCACGAGATCAGGGACTCGGTATCCAGCGAGCTTGCATCAATCTACAGGGAAACACTCGACACTGGAGTCCTACCAGAGGATTGGTCCCTGGCCGACGTAATCCCTATCTACAAGAAGGGCAGCAAGGACAATCCGAACAACTACAGACCCGTCAGTCTGACGTCGATACCGTGCAAAGTCATCGAATCGATCATCAGAGACGAGATCACGGACCACCTCAAAACCGAGGACCTCATCTCCGACGCCCAGCACGGGTTCCGCCCGGGCAGATCGTGCGCCACGCAGCTGCTGATCGCCATTGAGGAATGGAGCAGGTTGATCGAACGCGGCCATCCCATTGACGTCCTCTACCTTGACCTCGCCAAGGCGTTTAACACTGTCTCGACGCGGAGGCTTCTCCATAAGGTGGCAGCGCACGGAATCAGAGGGAAGCTGCTCCGATGGATCGAGGCATTCTTGGTGGGAAGGAAGCAGCGAGTGATTGTCGGCAACTCCCGTTCGGCTTGGATCCCCGTGCCGAGCGGAGTCCCGCAAGGTTCGGTGTTGGCCCCAACGCTGTTCCTGCTCTATGTCAACGACCTGCCTAGCGTCCTGAACTGCAATGTCAAAATTTTCGCTGACGACAGCAAACTCTACCAGGCCGTCCGAAATCCAGAGGATGCACTCTCCCTACAGTCCGACCTCGACGCCGCTACAAGGTGGAGTACGGATTGGCAGCTTAGTTTCAACGCTGACAAATGTAAGATCCTGCACATCGGCCGTCAGGCACTCAACCATGACTACTACATGAGTGGAACAGCGCTACAGGCGGTGACAGAGGAGAGAGATCTGGGAGTGATCGTCGACGCGGACCTGAAGTTCAGGCAGCAGGCAGCAGCGGCCGTCAGCAAGGCTTCGCGAATCATGGCGGTGATTCGTCGATCCTTCTGCCTGCTGGACCAGAAGACCCTGCCACTGCTCTTCAAGACGCTGGTGCGCCCACATCTCGAATATGGCAATATCGTCTGGGGCCCCTTCAACCGGACAGATCAGCTTCGTGTCGAGCGTGTCCAACGCAGGGCTACGAGGCTGGTTCGAGACATTCGCCACCTGCCATACGAAGCAAGGTTGAAGTCCCTGAAGCTGCCCTCGCTGCGATACCGACGTCGACGTGGGGACATGATCGCTGTCTTTCAACTGATACACGGGAAGCTGGATCTGAAGCCAGAAGAGTTCTTCGACAGAACACATGCCAGGGAAACCAGAGGACACCCGTGGCGCCTGGCCAAACCCCGAGCAACTTCACGCGTCCGTCGAAACGCCTTCTCAACGAGAGTCATCAACGACTGGAATGGACTACCGCTGGCAGTCGTGAGCGCCGACTCTCTCAACCAATTCAAGAATCGTCTCGACAAGCACTGGGCCCATCTCCTATACACACCACCTACGCCCTATGAGCCTTAACATGATCCGTCTAGAAGCTCGACTGGACCGGTAGTTTACAGGCCTTTGGCCTCTCTAAATTCCGTTCAACTTAAGTAAAGTAAGTAAAAGTAAAGAGAAATATGCATTAAATGAGATCAAGATGGAAACGACCTTGCAAGAAGAAAACGATAGTTGTTTTGCGACGAAGACTGATAATGTTTTTCAATCGTTGATTCGTGATGAAGATAGCTTAATAAATTGGCTTCAGGTGTGTTCTGCTCATGGACTTGTGATCACAAAAGAATACTTTTATGAAGAAATTCTTCATCGTTTGCAACTAACAACGAATGGACAGGTCTGGTAGGTATGAGTAGGTCAAGGTATCTTGATCTTGTATACCTACTTGCACAGGTACTTTTCCATCAGTGTACGTACTTAAGTGTTTGGAAGTCACCCATTGCGATCAGTTTGAATGGCTAGCCATTCCTCAGCCATTTGCTTGTTTCAAATGCTAACAAAAGTCTTAAATCTTTTAAATGCACTGTATTTGTAATGAAAGTTACAGATGTGAGAATATGTTGGCCGTTCTAACTCTGTATTATTGCCTCCCTTCCCTAGTGCTGACGATGTGCGTCAGTGGCTGGATGGGTTCTGCCTCCGCTGGGCAGACAAGCTGCGGTCTGGTCCGACTGGCGCATTGCTGGCTGACAACCCACCACCGACACCAACTCCAGCTTCCTGGTACAGCGCGGTGAGTTCGGCGGTGGCCGGCCGCTACCCCGCTGTGCCCCTCTCGGGGTCCGACCGGCTGCTGCACCTCGCCGCCGCCAATGTTCTGCTGCACCGCCGCACCGCGGCCGTGCGCCGTGTGCGCTCCGACACCGATGCGGCCGGCGCGCAGCGCGACAACGTGGCCTTCCTGGTGGCGGCGTCGGCGGACGGCGAGCGCGTGCCGCTGATGATGCTCACTCCGGCCGGCGGCCTGGTGCGCGGCGACCTCCGGCCGGAGGACAACTGTCTTCATCTGACCACCAGGAACGGTGGGTAGACGGCGGGAACAGGGCCGTGAATCGGTGTTCATTTCAGTGGAAGGATATTAGATGAAGGGGTATTGGGAATATTTCATCATTAGTAGCAGAAAGGCTCTGCGTGCTTCTTTAAACATTTCTGCAGTCTTCTGCTTCAGTAAGAACTGATACCAGAACGAGAAATACGAATAAATTAAAAATAATACCCTCCTGTCCCGCTCTGCTATCTGACAGGACGCGATTAAACTCGCCTCCCTGTGGTACTCTGCTGTCTGACAGGACGCGATTAAACTCACCTCCCTGTGGTACTCTGCTGTCTGACAGGCACGGTGACGTCTGACGCGCTGCGCCGGTACCTGTGTGAGTGTCTGGACCCGCACCTGACGGAGCGCCAGGTGGCGCGGCCCGTACTCGTGTTTGTCGACGGACGCCACCACCACGCCAGCCAGGAGCTGTGCCGGCTCTGTGATGACCTGGGCGTGGTGCTGATTGGCCTGCCCCCGGCGGCGGCGGCGCGCGGACCGCTGCGCAGCGCCGTCGCCGCTCTGCTGGCGGCTAACCTGACGCGTATGGCAGACGCGGCGCAGCGCGGCCGGCGCGCCGAGCCCGACGGCGGCTGCTCGACCTCGGCGCGCGCTCTGCTCGCCGGCTATCGGACGGCCACGCGGCGCGCCTCGCCGCAGGGCATCGCGCACGCCTTCCAGTGAGTCAGGGGGTGGGGGGCACTGACAGATGGCTGTTACATGCTGTTATCGGTTACCTATCTGCATATGAAGGGCATTACTGGCAACGGAAGCAACAGCAAGTGGAGCTATTAGTGTCAATTCTGCTGAGCGATATGTTTCAAAGGAACTGGTTTAACGTGCTTCGAGCAGCTGTTCTGTTACTATGCGTGTTTTTGTTATCGTTCCTTCATCAGTTCTCGTCTCGGAGCGTTGTTGATCGCTTTTGCGTGACCTGTTCCTGACGGTGAATTATTTTGCCGATCTCTCGCGAGTATTTCACCTCCGCTGTGAGGTTCCTACTCTCCGTTCCCGGCTTTGAGCGCGCACTGGAGTCTGGTATGCTCTCGTCTGTGAGTGTCCATGTGTTCCAGATGGAGCGGCCTGTCCACGTGGTCAGAGTCCATCATCTCCGCCTGCGGTTCGGGTGCGTCAGCTCCGGATGTCGCCGAGCTGCAGCTGCCGGAGCCGCCGCCACCTCCACTAACGGCGCCGGCCGGTCTGACATTACCGCCGGACGGCGCGAGCCTCGAGTGGGCCGTGCGGCTGCTGCTCAGCGCCGAGCGGCAGCGGCAGCAGCCGGCGCCGCTGCAGCCGTCCCAAGTGCCGCGGCCCGGTCCCAGCAGCGCCGCCTTCCTGGTGAGTGTGCCCCTCTCCGCGGACGGCGACGGCGCGGCGCCCGACGGCCCGCCCCTGGACACCGGGGACGGCTGGGTGACCGGTTCGGCGACCGTACTCAGCTACCTCATCAACGAGTCCGTGTTCGAGCGCGTCTACAGCAACCAGGCGGGCCGGCTCTGTCTGCTCGAGTCGAGGAGGCGGGAGCTGGAGTCACTGCTGACGCCCAGCGACCGGATCGTCCAGGTGCGCCGCGAACTCAGCACCTGGTGGAACGATACGGGGCGGGTGCGCTGGGTGACTCGCATCACCGGTTCAGCGGCGCAGCCGGCGGCGCTGTACGAATTCTACTTGGACGACGGCCGACCGCCGCCGCCGGGCTCGCAAGCGACAGGCGCAGGAGAGGCGGCTGAGGAGCGGGCGGGCGGGGACGCGAAGCTGGCGGAGACGGACGGTCAGAAGGACGGTGCTGCGGAGGAGGACGGTGTCCCTGCGGACCCTGCCGCTCCGCTGGTGGCCGTGGATGTCGCCCCTGGCAGCCCGGGCCGCGGCGGGCGCACCTCGATTCCCATCCCGGCCACCGGTCTGCCGGACGCCGAGCTGCTCCGGCTTCTGATCGACCCGCTGCTGGACAGCCCAGCGCTCAGCCGTCCGCCGGCCGAGAAGGAGCCCAACACAGCCTACCTGATCAACAACGAGGCCAACGTGCAGCGCCGCCGGCGGGGCGCCCCGTGCCGCTACGACGACGAGCCAGAGCGCTGGCACGGCGGACCGCTGAAGACGGGAAAGCTCTATACGTTCCTCCTGGACGAGAACGAGGCGCGGCGCGTGTGTAACAGCTCGCGGGGCCCGTACTCGCGGCCCGCTCTGCGCAACGGCCGGTGGGTGCCGGAGCCTCTGAACCCGCCGCCGACGGGGCGCGAGACGGAGGTGCAGCTGCGCCGGCTGATCAGCCGACAGATGTGCGGCCGCCTGCAGCACGGCGGGCTGCTGCGGCGCATCTCCTGGGTGGAGGCGTGCGAGCCGCCGCCGGCCCGCCTGCCAGCCGTCGCGCTGTACGAGTATATGTCGGTCGAGCCGCGCCAACGGGGAAATAGTGTCCAAGTGCAGCCGGTCAATGTGGCGGACAAACGGGAGGGCGACTTCGGCTCAGAGCTGGAGTCGGACGCGGACTCTGAGCCAGACATGGATGAGTCGTTGAAGCGGGCTTGGAGCGGACAGAACGGGACGGGGGCGGAGGGGTCAGACGTGAAGCGCAAGAGGAGCTGGAACCCCAGCACGTGAGATGAGACGGGAGGTGACGGACGTTGTTTGAGTGTACTTGTGTGTGCTGCCCAGTGGTCATCCACTCGTGATGAATAATGTACAAACTAGATTAATATTTCGCTCCTGGTAAAGGTTGTTTTAGGTAAAGATATGAAACTGCCATTACATCTTGTTAATAAAACAAACCCCGTATTGCTGCGTTTTTTCCCCTTTTTTGGACGGATGTTGATGTAAAGGTTCATGCTGCCAAATAAACGAGACGTGGTGGGTGATGATTGATCACCCGAATTTTTCTATTATCCAGCCCAGATCTATTCTAATGTTACAGTTCCGGTCGCACTTGGGCGCTATCGGCGAAGCCCACGCAAATGTTGCGGGAGGTTGGCGCGAAAGGAGCTCGGTCGGTCGCGGGTCGAGCATAAGGTTCTCGGTGGTGTCTGTTCGGGCTCGATCCATTCCGGCACTCGGATGTGCACGACTCCGTTCTGGGTGGCCTGCGGTTGGTGGCAGCCAGGGGTGGCAACAGGAGCCAGTTCAGGTCAGTACAGACTATGTCCACTTCCAGCTTGAATGGGCCCGCTATATTTTTGCCGGCATATAATTCGTCCAATGTTCGTGACTGTCCCGCTGACCCCTGCGGACGGCCGCCGCAGATAAGCGAGCTTGACCCGCTGACTGTCTACCTCCCTGCATCTGTGCACAGCGTACGAATGTGTCATCGCCATTGGTGAATCGAGGGTTTGAGCGTAACGAGCAGATACATATTACATAGGCACCCATGATTATTTTTGTATGAAAATCCATTTATCGACCACGATAAATAAAGGGGGGCGAGAGTTGCTACTGATCAATAAGGAGAGATGTTCTAAATATGAAAAGCACGTTTAAACGTGAGAGGAAAAAGTGAAAGCGAGTCTTGGTACAAAAGCCTTCAAAATCAACCCTGAAATTGCAAAATAGAATGAAAAATATAAATTGGTGACGCTGTTTTGTTTTTAATTTTGAAAGCTGGGATTTGTCATAATTTTAGGCAAGTTCGACCTTTTTAGTGCAAAAGCAATAAAAATCTTCCCGCCGCATTCTCTTTTATTTGACCACTATGCTCAACAACGGATTTTAGGCAAATGCAGTTTTAACTTTTAACTTTGAGTTTGGCATCTTTTGCTTTATGAATACTTATATTTTGAGAAAATAAATTAAAAAACTAGTATTTAAAGGGACCCTCCCACCTTCAAAAAAGTTAATGAATTTGCATGAAAGTGATGTCGCTCGGTTCAGAAAGAGCAAAAACGAATATCTACCAAATTTCATCGAAAAATATTCACCGGTTTTCAAGATATTAGACTTTTACTTTTGTTTACTTTTTGGGATCTCCGCTATTCCTAGCGACTTTATTTGAAAGTGCGGCATTTGTTGCGCGCAAAGCAGCATATACCACCGCGTGCTACAAAACGTTTTAGTCAAACATTTAACGGACGTTCGAAAGCCTGATGACGTCATCAGATTCCCGTAATGGTTAAGAGATAGGGACCAAGCTGGTCCCACCCTGCAAGTAAAGGGAAGAAATTTCTTGAACACCATAAAGCTGCGGGGGTTGCGACCAGGATAAATGGTGGTTTCTGAGCCTGGCCGCAAACTTGGCTATCTCAACTCAAAACTAATGTTAAGGTGGGAGGGTCCCTTTAATAGGCGCGTTTTTGTAAATTCTCTTCTATTTTCAAATTGTGCTTCAAAGCATTATGGGTAATGCTGAGCGTCAACATGGCCTTGGTCAACATTCGTTTGATTGCCGCCGTGAATGTAGGATGTGAGTGATGTGCTAATATTTAGATATGTCTGCACCTATTTTAAAATGGAAGAGGATTGGGAATGCAAGTGGACCATGTCCCAGACCAAGACATGGGCACAGAGCAGTTGCCATCAAGGACCTGATGGTTGTTTTTGGTGGTGGAAACGAAGGCATCGTTGATGAACTCCATGTTTACAACACGGGTACGTTTGTCTTTCTTTGTTATTGTGAATGTTTTGCCATTTTCAGTGAATTACTTTCATTTATGTAACTACTCGCATATTTCCTATTTGATATTGTCTTCTTCCATATGTTTGAAATTGGTTACTGAGCAAAAGTTTTTGTTTATAAGTTCTGTTGAAAGCAGTGTTCCAAAAGTTTTTGGAACACTGCTAAGTAGGGCAAGGTCATGCTCAGCATATGTGTATATCTGTTTATATCCTATGTTCCTATATTGTTTTGCTGTGCTACTATTTCTGGAAGTTGTTAAGCCTGAATAATATTTTCCAAGTACCTATGTGAATCATTAAGAAACATATGCTTACGTTAAACAGACCTACAAACTCGTAACTGGACTGTGTTAGTATTGTTCTTTGTTATTTGAGCAAAAGATGTGAGACATTGGGCTTTCTTGTTCCTTTTTGACAATGTTGTGATATGGAATGACAGTTTGATAATTTGGGCCTCATGAAGTTAGAAATTAAGCGTGTTTTTTCACCAAATGTATGACCTGTTTGTCAAAGCCTGTGCGTTGTTTTGTTCCCTAGGGCATATTTTGTTAACCATTTGGTGAAAATGACCAGGCCATGTCAGGTCAAGGAGCTATGATTTTATGAAAAAAAGGGGCCAGAAACAGTGCTGGAAATGAGGCCGCTTTCTGGTCCCGGCGTTTTATTCTCCTCGCGGGTTAATCCCGTCCAGCGTTTAGCCTTTCGGGACCCACTCAGGGTCGCGGTTGTTTTCGCCGCTCGCCCCAGTCGAGATGCAAAGTTGATAGTCACACGAAGCTTATTTAGGGCCAGCCAAAGCAGTCTAGTCTGGAGTTACTGCTAAATGTATGCATATAGATGAAATAAAAATGTTTTGTAGAATCGATTAATTTCAAAGTCGTATATTCAGAGGCCCCAAATAAACTTTGTGCGACTATCAACTTTGCATCTCGAATTTGCCGAGCGGCGAAAACAACCGCGGCTCTGAGAGGGACCCGAAAGGCTAAGCGCTAGACGGGGCTAACTCACCCGGAGAATAAAACGCCGGGACCAGAAAGCGGCCTCATTTCCAGCACTGGCCAGAAATCAGGGCTGGAAGGAAATATTAATTAGTAGGTAATCATGATTCATGGGACATGGGGTGAAAGATTTGGGAACAGAGCACCTTTTACCCAGAAGTGATTATCATGCTCTATTTAAAGCAATTTATAAGTTAAATTGATATTAAGATCAAAGGCTGGTGTTTGATTTATCACTACAATGGCTTGTGGTGACCTCAGGTGATTTATTGTGTATTTGTCAAGTTAAATTAATATATGTGCATAATGAATTCAATTTTGCTGCCTAAATTAATTTGGACTATACCTACACCTTTAAATCCACTTGTTCTAATCAGCCTTGAGCCTTCTGCTTTTGCAAATAGCCTTGAGCTCTCCAGATTCAACAATAAGCTGCAACAGCAAACACACACAGCAAACACACATGGTTTTGTCACCTGTCATGGGTTGCCTTTCCAATACCATTGACTAAGTGAACCTGCACAGTTGATTGATTGAGAAACCATTTGATTGTGCACCCAAATTAATGAAGGAACACAAAAAAGGTGAATGTTACTGCTGCCAAACAACTGCAAACATTGACTCCAGGGTTGTAATATACCTAATTATTCTGCAATCCATAATTTGATCTTTGATGGGCCATAACTAGGTTAAATATTGACCCAGGATGAAATATGTGTCCCTTTTGGTACCTTCTGAGAAAAACAATATTTTTTAATAATAGCCATTAGCCACATTACTGCTTTAAAATAACAGCTTGGAAACAATAAAGAAATGTTACAAACTTGGAAAAGGCATCTTTACTGAGCATGGCTTTCTTAGCTCTTGTTGCATTTGTGTGAAGGCAGTGCTGAAAATGTCCTCTAGGTTTATAACTTTTCATATTGCTTTCCATTTTTCAACCATTCTCAAACCTTTTCTGGGTACTTTTGCACTTCAAAATGTATCATGCTGACTGAACATACTTTGTTGCAGCCACAAACCAATGGTTTGTTCCACCTGTCAAGGGAGACATCCCTCCTGGATGTGCTGCCTATGGCTTTGTGGTCGACGGCACTCGCATCCTTGTCTTTGGTGGCATGGTTGAGTATGGAAAGTACTCAAATGAAATCTATGAACTCCAGGTGAGTGACTGTTTGCTTTGTTCTGTCCCTTTATTGTTACAATATTTGTTGTGTTCTTATAGTTGAAATTAAGGACTAGTAAATTGGATGCATCAAAACTCATTCACAGATTCTGGCCAGTTGTCATTATAAATATGTACGCATTACCTGACACTACTGGCTCCCCTCCTCACTAGGCGAGTCGATGGGAATGGAAACGGATCCGCGCCCGCCCGCCGCGCAACGGTCCGCCGCCGTGCCCGCGGCTCGGGCACAGCTTCACACTGATCGGCAACAAGGCGTACCTGTTCGGTGGCCTGGCCAACGAGAGCGACGACCCCAAGAACAACATCCCGCGGTGAGTCGCACAGACAGACGGGACGGGCCGGTGTGGCGATCGTGGGGAGTCGTTGGGAGCAGAAAAAGGTTAAAATAACTCATGACCTTGAGTGGAGTTGATGACCTTTCATTAGTTTTTTATATTACCATCGTTCCCAGCTCCCTTCCTCCCAGACTCTCAGTTCCCACCCTTCCTTCCCCCTGCCGGCCCACCCGTGCGTCACACCCTCCGTTTCCGTCTCGGCAGCTACCTGAACGACCTGTACACGCTGGAGCTGCGTCCGGGCGGCAACGCGCTCGGCTGGGACATCCCGCAGACCTACGGCCAGCCGCCGCCGCCGCGCGAGTCGCACACCGGCATCGCCTACACGAACGCGCAGCGAGACTCCTCGCAGCTCATCATCTACGGAGGTCAGAGCGCGGGCTCGGACGCTAGGTCATCGGTCGCCTGTTTTATTTTTTTTTTCATTGTCTTTCAGTTTTCTTCTGTTTCGTTCGCCGTGTACTATTTTTGTCATTTTTAAATGTTCATTTTTTTGTTAATACTTTTGTGGTGTACATCGATATAAACCATAGCGAACGCAAATAATTATCAAATTAGGTAGGTAGTACATGGGCTATTCACAGTTTTTCAGTAACAGCCTGTCTGATGATTGAAAAAGCCTGCCCCATGACCTTGACCGCCCCCTCGCCAGGTATGAGCGGCTGCCGCCTGGGGGACCTGTGGATGCTGGACGTGGACTCGATGATGTGGACGCGGCCGCAGGTGGGCGGCACGCCGCCGCTGCCGCGCTCACTTCACACCACGCAGCTGATCGGACAGCGCATGTTCGTGTTCGGCGGCTGGGTGCCGCTCGTTATCGATACGGACGTCAAGGTGGCCACACATGAGAAGGAGTGGAAGTGCACAAACACGCTGGCATCGCTCAACCTCGGTGAGACGCGGCGGTGGGGGACTGGCGGGGCAGCGTGTGTCGCGCGGGTGGTGTGAGTAGCGAGATTGGACTTGGCTAGATGTTGATGTTTGAGATAGGTGGTTTTACGGACCGTTTACGGTCACAGCATGGATTAGGAATACTTCATCCATGGTGACAGCGTCGACTGTGACTCTGGCTGACGGTGCCGGTGTCTCTGCTCTCCCCAGAGTCGATGGAGTGGGAGCCGCTAGCCATGGAGGCGTTCGAGGACGCCATTCCGCGCGCGCGCGCCGGCCACTGCGCCGTCACCATCCACTCGCGGATGTACATCTGGTCCGGACGCGACGGATACAGAAAGGCCTGGAACAATCAGGTAAGGGGCTGGGAACAATCAAGTGAGCGGCGAGTACGACAAGGCGGGAAACAGTGAAGTAAACGGAGGATCTCAATCTCAAGGATATCGATCTCATATCGATCTCAAGGATATCGTGGAATAGATATTTAGTGTCATGGGCCGCCAAGTACGAGAGAAGCCAAAGCTTATAACCAGACTTATGTGCCAAGGTCCCAATAAGGTCCGAGATCCAGGGTTCGCAGAGTCCAAGGTCCGGGACCTTGATGGATCCTGGACCTTGCATTGTCATTTTTGTCGTGAGACCTTGGAAACCCAGGACCTTAAAACATCCATATGCCGCGAGACCTTGGAATCCCAGGACCTCAACATCTGCATATGTCGCGAGACCTTGGAATCCCAGGACCTCAACATTTGCATATGCCGCGAGACCTTGGAATCCCAGGACATCAACATTTCATGTGACATGAGACCTTAGAAACCCAGGACCTCAACATTTCATATGCCGTGAAACCATGGAAACCCAGGGGACAGGACCTCAAAATTTTGGTATGCTGCAAGACCCTGCAGAATGCAGAACTTCAGTCCCAGTTTTATTATTTGTCATGGGATCTTAGGAGAAGGGCCGGGACTTACGGATCTCAAGAATCCTGGAAGCTGAACCATGAGGTTTATTTTGCACATGGGCCACTAAGGACCCTGCACTAGATTTTGTCTGTAGACACTTCAATAAATATCTATGGTTGAGCGACCAGCTGCAGGGGGCTAAGATAGATACATGAAGAGAAAATGAACCAGACTGTGTAGACATATATAGAGCCAAATGGTTGTCATGGCTGTGAGGCAGAACTGGAACAAGAGACCTGGTAGCTTTTTACATTATCAATGTTATGGATTATGAAACTGCCAAACGGCAAACAGTGGACAGTGGTGGTTTGGAAAACTCTTTTCTAATCTCACCTCACATATTTTCTGGGTTGTGATATGCCGGGCTTGAAGCTACTTGGAAGCTACCCACTTGACCAAGTGTCAAACTTATTTGATTTGCAAGTCATCAAATCATCATTGAGCAATGGGCATCCAATATAAGCAATGATTCCATGTCAGTTCAGCTTTTTCGTTTAGCAGGTTTTCGTCGGACAATTTTAAATTTTTCGTCTGCAGATTTTCGTCCGCAGACTTTCGTTTCGTCTATGCATTTTTTCGTCTGTGCATTTTTAGGTTCGCGCATTTTTTCGTAAGGACATTTTCCGCCTCGTATAGACGAAAAAATCCCGGACAGAAAAATACTCAGACGAAAAATGCACCAAATCAATTCGTACAGACGAAAAAATGCAAGACGAAAAAGTCGGACGAAAATCTGTCGACGAAGAACCGTCTGACGAGAAAAATTGTCAGGTGGGATTTTGTTCAGAGCCTTCAAGTCAATGTGAATGAGCAGTAAGTAAGGTTTGCGCTCGCTGATGCTCTAATTCTATTGGCTTTGTCGATCAGTTTTTCTGTTAGCGCTCGCGCAAACAAGACTTAGAACATATTTGAGTTTTTATCCAAGGTATTACGTAATGTGCAGAAAATCGAAAGAGCATATACCTATCCAATTCAATGTTTCCATTTTTTGAAGCCTGTAGGTTTTATTTCTGTTTTTTTATATTGCCTGAAAGAATACTTGGATGTATGTCTTCAATAACTGTAAGGTCAAGGTGCTATCCTACATTCTTAATGATCAGGTAAGCGTAAGATTGATTTGAAAGGGGCATGACAATACAAAATCATACAAAATGCAAGGTACCTATTACCTACCTATATTTTTATGAATTTGTCAGGCTAAAGAAGGAGAGATTGATATTTTGATTTATCTTTAACTTGTGTTGAAGCTCCCCCTACCTATGTTGGTAAATGATAAAACCACCACAGGTTTGCATAGGTTCTGCCCCTTTCAATGTTGCTCATTGCTGGGCATCCGTTGGCATATTTAGAAGTAAGTCTGCTCATCAGAATGTTAGTTCAAGTTCTTGTTGTGGGACCCTGAATACTTTGGATCCTGAGATGTAGGTGTTCTTGCCGTGGGACCTTGAGGACTGTGGACCCTGAACTCTGAAGTGTATACTTGTTATGGGACCTTGGGGACTCTGGATCCTGCAATGTATACTTGCCGTGGGACCTTGGAAACCTTGGATTCTAGAAATTGAATTTGCCGTGGGACCTTGGAAACCTTGATTCTAGAAATTGAATTTGCCATGGGACCTTGGAAACCTTGGATTCTAGAAATTGAATTTGCCGTGGGACCTTGGAAACCTTGGATTCTAGAAATTGAATTTGCCGTGGGACCTTGGAAACCTTGGATTCTAGAAATTGAATTTGCCGTGGGACCTTGGAAACCTTGGATTCTAGAAATTGAATTTGCCGTGGGACCTTCGAAACCTTGGATTCTAGAAATTGAATTTGCCGGGGGACCTTGAGGATCCTGGATCTTGATTTTTGGTCATGGCACAAGTCTGCTTATAACACATTACACAATACAGTGGAACTTGGTTCGTAAAGCCGCGTATGTAATGAATACCATCCCTGTTCCTATCTCATGCGTGCTGTAAGGCCCTTTGGTACCTGGAGACGGGTCGCGTGTATACTGAGTACCATCCCTGTCCTTCACTCAGGTGTGCTGTAAGGACCTGTGTGTAGTATGTGTGTACTGAGTATCTGCTGCTACTTCCCTCAGGTGTGCTGTAAGAACCTGTGTGTAGTATGTGTGTACTGAGTGCCCTCACTATCTCTATCTCAGGTGTGCTGTAAGGACCTGTGGTACTTGGAGACGGAGAAGCCGCCGTCGCCGGGCCGCGTGCAGCTGGTGCGCGCCTCCACACTGTCACTGGAGGTGTGTTGGAGCCAGCTGCCCACCGCCGACTGCTACCTTCTCCAGGTGAGACGCGCCGCAGACACTTCACTGGAGCGGTGACAATACGGATATGTTTGTGATAGGCTGTCATGTGAAGTGAGAAAGTAATATGTTATGTTCTTCTTTTTTGCATAATCATGGACATTCCCTAAAAAAAGCTCTATTCTATTTTTCAAATCGTGCGTCGTTCGGGTCTTATATTGTGGTCTATAACGATTATTATATGCACTCTGCTCACAGATTCAGAAGTACGAGATGCCGCCGCAGCCGGCCAGCCAGCCCAGTCCGGGCGCCGCCGCCCAGCCGGCCGGGGCGGGGGCGGGGGCGGCTCCCAGCCCGCCCACGCCGAGCGCGGCGCCCGTCCGCCCGTCCATCACGGCCACAGCGGGCATCCCGAGCCCGTACAGCCCGGCCAAACGTGAGTGGCGCACTACCGGACGACAGCAGGATAACTACTTGAATATACTGGGGTGGTAATTTCAGTCTGGCGACAAAATATGTGTCATGTTCTGTCGATGAATGGTAGGTTGATTGGATAAATAAGTTCATTGCAATAAATTACTAGCGCCTGGTCCATTGCAGGCCTTTGGCTTATATGATTAATTTTAGCGTCGGTTGCCGCGTGTTTTGACGCCTATTAGTCAGCCTGTTCTCGCATGCACTGGCTCATCGTCCCGTGTGTCCGGCAGTGGGCACCGGACTGCGGAAGGTGCTCACCAAACCGGAGCCCAAGTCGCCCGTCAGCAGCCAGCCCATGTCCGGTATCGCTGCCCTGGCGGCGGCGGCGGCACAGACGCAGCGCGCGCCGCCGGCGCAGCAGACCACAGCCGACAGTCCCGGAGTGAAGGTGGGCTCGAGACGCAATCAGTTACGGAGACTCATATAACAGGCATCTAAACCTTGATAATCATATGCAAACATATAAGTTGTGAGCGTACCATATCATTGAGATATACCGATGCTTTGCGGACAGGACGGCTCTCGCTGACCCCTGTGAGCTCTGTTGACATCCGTGGCGTGACGTTTGTCCGTCTCACTCCGGCAGGGAGTGCGACTGTCTACGGCGGCGGTAGCGGGCGGCGGGAACGCCATCAGCTCGGTGCTGAAGTCGCCCGGCCAGCCGAAACAGATCATCCTGCAGAAGCCGGGCGCCGGCGGCCAGCCACAGATCGTCACACTGGTGAAGACCAGTCAGGGGATGCAGGTGGCCACGGTAAGGAGAAGGAGGACGGGACGGGACCAACTGGGGTAGATTGAAGAGAGTGGCGAGTGAAATGTGCGGGAAATGGGTAGGTGGGGGTCTGCAAATGTCAAATGCAATTAGCTGCTGAATCTGTGCTGAAATGAGTATCTCCCGAAGTCTTCATTCTCTTGAGTCCATACTGACGAACCTCCCCCCCCCCCCCCTCCGACCCTCAGGTGCCCAAGGTGAACCTGCTGCAGGGCAAACCGTCCGCTCAGATGACCGCCGTGTCGGCCGGCAAGTCGCTGCCGCAGGGCGCCACCATTGTCAAACTGGTGGCCACACAGGCCGGTGAGTGGTCGAGACTCCGAAATGGCGCTGTTTGCAGAGATAGAGTGTTTGTTGGGTAACAGAGCTTTCTACTTAAGATTGTTGCAGAGTTCTAGCTTCTCGATGAGTAAAATAGGGAACTGTTTCATTCGCATTGCTTTGGTTGTTAGTCCTCATCACGTTATTATACTTCAGCTGTTCTAAGGGATCGTTTTCAAAGCAGCGACCTGATCAGGCGTTGAAGCCCTTCAAGTCTATAAGAAAGAATGTCTTTAAAATTCATATCTCACCTCACCAGTGACGCCGACTGACCGCGTACCGTGTCCGCCGCCAGCAGGCGCCAACCGCTCGATCGGATCGAACGTCATCACCATCGCCAAGCCTCAGACGGTGTCGACGCCGGCCGGCGGCAAGCAGACGATCGTCATCACGCGTCCGCCGCGCGCGGCCACCCAGCAGGTCACCATGGTGTCCTCCGCAGCGGCTCCGGCCGGCGGCGCGGCGGTCGTCCCGTCCGCGGCTGCCGGCAGCCCGGCGGCACCGCCACAGACGGCCGGCCAGGCGGGCGTCAAGATGATCGTAGTGTCGTCTCCGTCGGGCACCAACACCACGCCGGCCATCTCCCGCCCGATCACCATCTCCGTGCCGGGCCAGTCGGGCCAGGCCACCAAGACGGTCACCATCGCGGCTAAGTCAAACACGCTGGTGGGTCTGCCGGCGCAGGGTCTGCTGCCGGCCGGGCCGCGGCCTGTCGCCGTGCAGGTATCCACGGCCGCCGGACAGAAGACGGTGACGTTGATGGCCGGCTCGGCGGCGGCCACAGCGGCGGGCGGCGGCTCCCCGGCGCAGCAGAAGGTGGTGCTGCTCAACCAGCCGGCCACCACGGACGCAGCGCTGGCAGCGCTGGCCGCGGAGGCCGGTCTGGGTGTCCTCCCGGAGTCAGGCGGTGGAGAGCCAGCCGAGCAGGCCGCGCAGGCCGCGCCGGAGGCGGCGCCGGCCCAGCAGCCGGCGGCCGTGCCGCAGGTGGACGGAGCAGACGACAGCGAGGACGAGACGCCGCCGCCGCCGCAGTCGGACGAGGGCGCGCCGCCGGCGCCGGCCGCCGCTCCGGCCGCCGAGGGGCCGGCTGAGGAGGCGCCGCCGCCGCCGGCAGACGAGGAGCCGCTGGTGGGTCAGCCTGTGGATCCAGAGACGGAGAATCCGGGGCCGGCCGGACGCGCCGCCGCCGCCGCCGCTGAGGCAGCTGAGAAGGATACTAAGACGGACTCCGAGGCAGCTGGAGATGCAGCTGCGACTGAAACCCTCGCAGAGGGCAGCTCTACTGAACAGAAACCCGCGGAAGACGATGCCCCGGAGGAGAAGCCCATGGAGCAGGACAGTGCTGCGGATGATAAGCCTGCTGCGGAGAGTGCTCCGGCGGAAAGTGCTCCGGCGGAGAGCGCTGCTGTGGAGAGTGCCGCTACGGAGCCGGCGGCCGCTGAGGGTGCCGCTGCGCAGGAGTCGGCCCCTGTCCAGCCGGCCCCAGCAGCTACTGACGGTACGAAGCCGGCGCCGAGCGACGACGCTCCGGCCGAGAGCGCTCCACCGGCCGGTGAGCCGATGGACACCGCCCCGGAGGGCGGCACCACCACCGCGGCTCCGCCGGCTCAGCCCAAGGAGGAGCCGTCGGACGCCGACGCAGAGACGGCCGCCGACCCGCTGGCCACGCTGGCGTCGGCGGCCATCTCGACGGCGGCGGCGGCGGCGGCCGTCAAGTCTGAGCCACGCGCCGAGAACGGCGTCACCAAGAGCGGCGCCGACTCGGAGGAGAAGCGCCGCGACGCGCTGTGGTTCGACGTCGGTATCATCAAGGGCACCTCGTGCACGGTCGAGTCGTTCTACCTGCCCGTCGACGAGAACGGCGACGTCCTCTCCGAGAGCGACCAGAACATGATGCGCAAGGTGGACCTGCAGCCCGGGCTGGCCTACAAGTTCCGCGTGGCGGGCATCAACGCCTGCGGCCGCGGCCCGTGGAGCGAGGTGTCGGCCTTCAAGACGTGTCTGCCGGGCTACCCGGGCGCGCCGTCGGCCATCAAGATCTCCAAGTCGGCGGACGGAGCGAATTTATCGTGGGAGCCGCCTCAGAACCCGGCCGGGGAGATCACAGAGTACTCTGTGTACCTGGCCGTGCGCAGCGCCACCACACAGGCACAGGTGAGCGGGTGGGAGGGCGCGGCTGGCAGGGGCGGGTGGTTATCGAGGAGGTCGGGAATGTGACCAATACTAACATGATAACTTTTAGTATATGTAGTTTTCATTCTTGTTCGTGTGGTGGTTGTTTTTACTGGAATAGCCGTTTCACATACCGTGGTTCCGGCTGGAAAAGTTTTTAGTCTGTATCGCCACGTAACTCGTAAGTCTATCGTTCTATCGGAGTGGTGATCGACACCCACGATTTCTCACTCGGCCGTCGTATCCTCCATATGTTTTACAAGTATTACAGCCTAGCTGCACTATCGGACGTTCCGACCCTCTGCACCTGCTGAATCCCTCTCTAAAGCCCTTTCTCTCCGACCTCCCTCCGTCAGGGCGACACAAAGACGGTGGCCAGCTCGCCGTCTCAGCTGGCGTTTGTGCGCGTCTACTGCGGCCCCATCAACCAGTGCACGGTGACGCACATCTCACTGGCCGCCGCGCACCTCGACACCACCTCCAAACCGGCCATCATATTCCGGATCGCAGCTAGAAACGAGAAGGGCTACGGCCCGGCCACACAAGTCAGGTGGCTCCAAGGTGAGTACTGAGTACGGCGCATTTCGGGACATGTGTGAGAACTGAGAACAAGATGTTTGTAAAACGCTCATGCGTGAATTTTTACTTCATAGGGGCGATTCGTACCACTTGTTACAGGTGGTAAGTCTCAACTGCCAGTTATGCTTGAATGTGCCCGTCAGTCCATTTGTTTGTGTGTGTGGGAGGGGGAGGAAGTTCTAGAGTAACTTGTCCAGTGACACGCCCGCCGGCCCCGTGCTGACGCGTCTCTCCGCCCGCAGACGCACACGCCGGAGGAGTGAAGGCCGTGAAGCGGGTGATGGACCCGCGCACGCCCGGCCCCGCCGGCATCAAGCGGCCGCGCACGGACAGCGGTCAGTAGGCCGGCGCGGCCGCCGGCGCCATCTCACCCTCAGTACAACACGCCTCTCATTGGGCGCGCGCGACGCCACTCGCCTCATCGTGCCGCGCGCCGGGCGGCGGTCAGTTTTAGCGCGGGCGGCACGCCGCGGCGGTACCGCTCCGCCCAGCGACTGTACATAGATGGCCGGACCGCCGCCGGCGCGGAACGAAATGAAGTGACTTATGACGTGAGTGACGTAATGAGTGAATGGTTGGGAGAATGGTGTTCATTGCGTGAGTGAGTGAGTCAGCATCGGAGCCATTATGCCTAGTTAGGACGTCTCGCCTGTAGTCTATAGCGCGGCGCCCGACCGGTCTGACCGGGCGGGCGGAGCGGTGCGCCGACTGGGGTCCGCTCGGCCGGGCGGAGCGGGGCGCCCACTGGGACCCGCTCGGGCGGCTCGCCGCCGGCCAATCGGTTCACACTTCCATTGTGCTTAGGATAAGGACCGCTCCGTAGCGGGCTAATTGTACACTATGCTAAGAATCGGGCGCTTTCCGTCGCCACGTTTGAAATAAACTGTCGCAACATACATTCTGACTTGTCCAGTGTTCTTGCGGCCAATGAAAATATCGGTAAATTTGTATATAATCTACATAGCTTTGCAGCTCAGTGAGGAGCACATATACTGCTTACAGCAGAATCGATCTCGATGATATTGTATTTAACCTTCAACACAACGTGAGTTGAGACACACAGTTAAATACAAATACGCTGCCAGTTTTCGGGCTCGGGTCTGGCCTACTAGCCCGGGTGTTCATGCTGAGTCCGTGCATGACTCAGACGCTGAGCAGACGCTGACTTATTACGACACCTCACACCTGTGCTGGGGACAGCGAATAGCGATGGTTGGGACAGTTTAGCGATAACTGTCAGTCGGACGCCGCTGCCGGTCCGGCTGACTGAGTCAGGTCCTCCATCCCTTGCCGTCACATGAATACGCTGCGGGTGTCAGGTCGGAAGAGCTCCGTCGCCGTCCCATCTTCACAGGAACACGCTGCGGGCGTCCGGCGCCAGACACGACTCCTCCTTCTCGTAGGCGCAGCCGATGCAGCTGGGAAACGGGAGACGATCAGCCCGTCTGGCTTAGGTAGGACGTGGCAGTAGACATTATTTGGCGAGGGCGATGTGGCACGCTTAATGCGTTATTAGACACTTTCACAGGGGTCTTTATCTTTTCATAGACGTCTTAGCAATCTGTTTTTAGTCCACGGAGCTCTGACCGAATCAAATCAAACTTTGACCGTTTACATTTCTTGTCTCTCTCCTTCCATCGCCTAACTCGTCTCCCGGCCACGCGCAGGGCGCAGCTACTCACGAACTTCCACCATCGATGGACTTATTTCTTACTGTGTGTGACCGAGCTACTCACAAAAAGTCCACCATGGAGCCGTACATGAGGCCGACCACGTAGTCGGCGGGGTTGGCGCCGGAGCGGACGAACGCCCGCGAGGCCACCGAAGCCACCGAGTCGAGCGGCGGCCGGCCGGCAGAGACGGCGCTCACCGCCTGGGGGAAGAGAGAGATGGGCAGGCGTCCCGCGAGCGGAGTGGGCAACAGCTACCTCAGCGGGCTGGGGCAGGTTGTCAGACAAAGCCGAGCTTCAGTACTGCTCACGCCTGCACAGACCAGGACGGGGAGGTATGATCCCAAAAGACGAGCTTAATATCACGGGGCCGGCTAGATATTTGATCGATGATTGATATGCATGATCTTCCCTGCTTCCCAGATAGATATAATTTAACATTCGAGCGTGGTGAGAGTGCGACGTCAAGCTTGTCTCTTAGCTCAGACGGTTGCTGCATATATCTACTTCTGCGACGCACTGATCCCTCCACGAAATGTCTGAAAAAGTATGAACTCAACCACCACAAACCGCTCTCCCCGATCTCCGCCGGCACCGAGCGCTCCCACCGCTCCCTCTCCACGCCACCTACCAGGACCAGCAGCCAGCAGCAGCAGATGAGCGCGGCCGTCCTCGCCATGATGCGTGCTGTCGGCGGAGTGTGGCGCGTGCTGTCGCCGGAGTGTGGCGGCCCCCTCCCGGTCGGTGCCGGACTGGCCTCGGACGCCGGTCATTACAGCGGCAGACAGCTGGCCGGAGCGGACCAGACGACCCATTATCAGCCGCTCAAACGGGCTGGTAATGGCCAGCAGAGACGGCGCAGCTGGCTGTCCGACCGGCAGGCGGGCTCATTAACTCTTACCTTATCAAAGTTTATCACAGCAAAGCCGTAAGCTCAGAGCTGTGATTGTGAAAATCACTCTGTATCTCAACGCCGCAACCGTATCGACGCATAGGTGGCGTCGTGCGGCACAGCATACCACTTCAGGAATATACTACTAGTGCCATCTAGCGCCTGGATGGAAAGCATGGTGTCGGGCGGCACAGCCTACCACTCCAGAAGTTTACTACTAGTGCCATCTAGGAGCTGAGCGAAGAAGCCTCCGCGCGGCGCAGCATTACGTCTGAAGGGGAGATATTGGACCGGACATTGATCAATCTGCAGCGTGCATAGAGGCGCCAATCATTATTCGGTCAGCCATATGTTGTGTGCTCTCGCCCTCAACACCAGTCCTAGCACAGTCAGTCATACGTTGTGTGCTCCCGCCCTCAACACCCGTCCTAGCGCAGCACAGCTGGCACTGAGCTCCTCCGCTACCCGGCTCCGTAGTCAGCCCTATCACTATCAGCCGGGCCAGGCACAAGCGCCCTCAACACGGCTCTGCTGATCTCCAAAACGGAGAGGCCATCACCCCTTTTTACAGGTCACGGGGAGGAAGGAAGAGCAGGGGCATATGGGCTGCGGCTTCAGCGACAGGTAAGACCGACTGGAGACCATCCGACACAAGAGCGGACGGCGACTCTCATTCACCAGTCCAGCACTCGCCTACCTGGTAGGTATTTTGATTGAAAACAACCGGTTATCCCGAAACGGCCTCTTTATTTAAACATCACCAAATGCACGCATAAATGCCAAGAATAGCTCTATTTTTACAACTACATTTTGATCACCAAGCTGGACAAGTGTCTTTTGCAAAAGGAAAAACGGCAATAATCGGTATGCTTTCGTTCCAATGTGCATTTGACGTGCGGGTCTGATCCTCCATCGATCACATCGAACCCAGTACCACCCAACGCCCCTGTATTTCACCTAGCCAGTGCCTATCGGCCTACCCATGTGAAATCGTACGGTCCCTGTGTCCCTCAGACGGTCAGCCGCTGTCGTACGGTCCCTACCCTGTGTCCCTCAGACGGTCAGCCGCTGTCGGACAGTCTCAGTTGGCGGCCGGGTCGCTGCAGTACTCGCCGTCAGCGGCGTTGGCCGAAATCCAGGTGAGCGCATCGGTGACCCTGGCGTAGACGCCCGGGTAGCTGGGGTCGGCGCAGCTGATGCCCCACGAGACGACGCCGATCAGCGAGTAGCGGTTGTTCTCGAGGCTGACCAGCGGGCCGCCGCTGTCGCCCTGGCAGGAGTCCTTGCCGCCGGTGCCCAGCAGGCCGGCGCAGACCATGCTGGAGGTGATGGAGTAGCCCGAGTAGGCCGACTGGCAGGCCGAGTTGCTGATGACGGGGACGGTGACCTCGCGCAGCGCCGTGGCCTGCGAGCCGCCCGACGCGGTGGTGCCGAAACCGGTGACGATGGCGTCGGCGCCGACAAAGTCGTTGGAGGCGGTCGGCAGGCAGGCGGGCGCGATCTTGTTGTCGGCGGGGAAGGTGATGGCCGTGGCCAGCTTCAGCAGCGAGAAGTCGTTGGCGTATGTGCCAGAGTTGTAGTTGGGATGATTCTTGATCTGGGCGATGTTGAAGCGGATCTCTCCGTCGTCCTGGTTGATGAGGTGCTCGCGCAGCAGGACCTGGATGCGGCTGGCAGACGATCCGGCCGTGCAGTGAGCCGCCGTCAGCACGTACCGGCTGTTGATGACGGTGCCGCCGCACCAGGTGCGGCTGCCGCCCGTGCTGACCAGACCTGCCTGCCACGGGTACTCGTTGGCCTCGGTCTGCACGCCGCCGACGATGCGCGAGGCGCGGTTGACGTTGCCGCAGGCGCAGTTGTCGGAGGGCGGCGGCGGCGCGGCCGTGGTGGTCGGAGGCGGCGCCTCGCCGACCGTGACAGCGCACACGAACCCGGAGCGCACCACCGAGTAGTCGGTGTGCCAGTGGATCGCCATCTGGTCGATGGCGGCCACGCCGCTCGGCCCGTTGGAGCCGCAGAACTTGTTGCCGTCCACAGACAGCCAGTCGTACGCGCAGCTCGAGTGGGACTCGACGTCGAACTGCGAGCACGTCACCGACAGCTGGTCGCCGGCCTGGTCGGCGTACAGCTGGTAGTGGCAGTCGACGTCGTTGCTGTAGTCGCCGTCGCCGTCGGTGATGGTGTGCTGGCCGCGCGCCAGCCGGCTGCCACCGCAGCTGAGCTGCGAGCCGGCCGGCACCACGGTCGGCTCCACCACCGTCACCGTGCACCGGTAGCCCGACCGGACGACGCTGTAGTCGCTGTGGAAGTCGATGTCGAGCTGAGGCGCGGCCATGGTCGACGGCCCGCTGGAGCCGCAATACTTGATGCCGTTGACTCGGAGCCAGTCGTACCGGCACTGGGAGTGAGACTCGAGGTCGAACGCCTCGCAGCTCAGCTCGAGGTCCTTGCCGGTGTCGGTGGTGAGCGTGTAGACGCAGTCCTCGTAGTTGGGGTAGTTGGACGGGTAGTTGGGTGACTCGATAACTACCGTCGAGCCCTCGGCGATCACATGAGAGTCGCAGGACAGGGCGCCAGAGCGCGGGCTGGGAACGCCGGTGTCGCCCTTAGGACCCGGCTTCCTTTCTTCGGGAGGCGGCTTCTTACCCTCAGGCTCCGGCTTCTTCTCTTCAGGAGGCGGCTTCTTGTCCTCTGGGGGCGGTTTCCTGGCATCCTTGCCCTGGAGCGTGCTGGGCAGCGCCAGAGCGCCGGCCAGCAGGCAGCCGAGCAGCAGCAGCTGACACGTCTTCATCCTGTGACCTCCGGAGAGCAGAGAGCTGACTGGGACGCCGACACCACGGGATACGCCCTATTTATACCGCCGGGAGTGCCCGCTCTCAGCTGCAGCGGATCCGCAGAAAATCAGCCGAATCAGCTCAGGCGTGACAAGCCCGAGCTGAAACGACATGAAACCGAGCACATCCAGAGCGGTTGATACAAAGACTTCGGGCCATCGGACACCGTCACACAAGTGTCCTGCGCTATAGAGACAATGGTGGTTGGCTGTTCAGGATGAGATTGCAATAAAACAACACGACGACCGCAAAAACGACCTATGCTAAAAACTGCGACACAAAGAAACAGCTGTTGGTGGGCCAGCGACAGAACAGCTGAGGAACACAGTGACGAACGAACGGGTTATCTTTCACACTTTTTGCTCAGAGTCCGGAGTGATCGGCAATATAAGACTATTTCAATATTGCCGCGGACTGCTACCACGAGAAACTTTGCATTAGATCAGACGCCCATTCCTACCGTGTGACCAGAAGTCAGAACATACCTAACCAAATGTTCTTAAAACAAAGCTTCCAACAGTTCGCGGATAGCATACCATCTTTCGGGAGCACATACGTCCCATAATTGAACTTCTAGGAAAGCTAACGCTTTCGAGCCTCGACTGTCGAAGTTGTTGGTAACATTCTTCTCGCCCTATGGCCGTTTTGGGCCATTCGTCGTAAATCGAAACCCGATCTATAAGCAATTTCCCTAAAATCTGGATCTTAAAGCCAAAAGCCGGTCTTGGAACGAAAAGCCGATCTTGAGGCCATTGATTGGCCTGTTGTGCGAGGTCACCGAACGGTAAAATCGTGTTTTGTTGGGATGGGCCTCCTCTAGTGGATACCAATCCGTCCATCTTACACGGTCTGTCCTATCCCAATCTGAAGAGGCTCACAGATCAGCAGGGGGAGCGGGTCCCACCTACACCCACTGATCTATTGGAGGACGCATTATAATTTATAGGTAGGACGATCTATATAGGTACCCTGCATTATAGCGTTGCCAAGCGTTACATGGGCCGGCGCCATGTATGGTTAGCTCGCTCGTCAACAAGACTTCGGCCGACCACTCGTCATGCTTTTTCCGATGCCCACGAATATAGCGCTTTTATGTAGTCCGTGATACAAATAGCCGTAAAAAAGGGAAACTTGACAATGTCGTAGAGACTTTTCTTCGCCAAATTTGAGCGTGGTCCGCAGTCTCTCTGTGCCCGCAGTGGTGCTAATATTCGATTTTCTGCGACACTAGCTGTTCAAATGAAAAGATATTTCGCTTTCCAGTCGTCCGACAAATGCAGGCCAGCAAGAAGGCATCACAGAATTACATATACAGGTTATCTTGTCAGTTGTGTCGTGTGTGCAAAGTACCTCACTCGTTATGCATGGATACGGAGATCATCGCTTGGAAGCAAACCTAGCTTTATGTTCAGACTTCCGAGCGTGGAATCAAATGGATGCGAATGGATCAACAGGTCGGACTGAGCAGTGGACCAGACACTTCCCTAGCCCGGCAGCGTTTCACCAGCGGCAGGTAGCGGTGTGGGGCGGTTCGGCCCGCCGTTACCCCACCAGGGTGACCTAGGGACGGCCCTGCGCGGCACGCGTCCGGTGGTGCCACCCGCTGCTCCCCACCTCCCCGCAAAGGCCAGTGGCATCGAGCGATGAGCGTTGTCAGGCACCCACGGCCACGTCTCGTATTTCAGCCCGCCTGATCTCCAGCAGTGAAAAGAAATGGTAAAAACAATACATGTATTGCACCGTTTCGTATCACAGTCGGTTACATCGTTATCACTTGCTGGCCAGTAACTGGCTTTGTACTGGGAAGCCGGGACGCAGGCCGCACACCAAACCTGTAAAATAGAGCCGGTTAGAATAGGGCGCGGAAGATTCAGAGCAGTGTTAATCTTTGACCGAAAGTGAATAAAGCTAATATTAAACCATAAACTTTATAAGCTATATTTACTCAATGAATCGATGATTAAGGAAACAGATAACCGATGTAAGACTATTACACTAATTATCATTACGTGATAGATACATTGAGTCATTGTGACCACTGGTTGTGATGAAAACAAACAATATTTTACAAATTGAATTTTAAGGTTAACAGTAGGTTCAATAATTGCGGCAACCATATTAACTAATAAACCAAATTACTACATGTGAGAACAACAAAGAAAGATAGATCAAATGGAAAACAGCGTCTACGCAAAATAACCCTCATTATCTTTTTAAACGTTTGACTTAAAAATGCTCATGGAAACTCATATTAATCTCAATGTGATCACAAATACTGATCTGAAAAGAAAAGTACCTGCAGAACTACATACAACAGAGCCCAGTAGCCTTACCCTGTCGGTGGCCAGCCCTTCGGCTGCCTGCCTCGCCTACCTCCTATCGAACCGTCTCAGAGCCGGCGACTGACGCCTCCTACACGGTCTAGCTGATCCTGTCGTCTGTCTGCCTACCCTGCCGCGGCCGGCGCGCGCCAGAGGCGGCCGCGCGCTGCACCGCTACTCGGCCGAGACACAAACTAGCCTGTCAGATTAGCCTGTGAGTGGCCGGCGCTGTGCCGCGCCCTGCCTGGCTGAGTGGGGACGGCCCGCCCCAGAGCCTGCTTAGAAGAGACACCCTACACAGTGATATCACAGCTGGGTCAGCGCCATGTATTATCTGTCACTGTCTGCGTACTGGTTACAGCGCACGGGCGGGAGGGGGGCGGGCGGCCGCTGTCGGCTCCCGGGCCTGCCACGGCAGCTCGTGGGACCTCTCGGGGGCTCGGGACCTACCGGCGGCCGGCTAGTCGGCCGCCGCCTCCAAACGGCTCAGACGCCGCACACTGACGTACCAGACAATGTTATCATCGGTCAAACCCGCCTCTAAAAACGGACACCACAATAAGCAGCCAATCACTTAATGAATGATAGATGATGAGACATTATGCCGGGGTCGGACGTAGGCCGATGGCCGCGGCTGAAAATGGACCTGATGGCTGGCGGCCGGCCCAACGGGCGCCGTGGTGAGCGTAAAACCCCTCCCACTAGTAACTGCCCTGCCCCCGGCTGTCAGACCCGGAGCGATGCTGACCGGACGGCCGGAGGGAGAGTGGAGGGCGAGACGACTCGAGCCGGCCCGGCAGCCGCTCAGTACCGGTTGTAGCCGCCGCCGCCTGCCGACAGGGGACGACACCCGTCAGTTCAGCGGCACACAAGGCGAGTCTGCGCACTGGCTGAATACGCAGAAAGCACAGGACAGCCGAAGCGAACAGTATTTAACCAGAAATGAGCAACCACGAGCAACATAGGGTAACAAACACTGCCCCTTCCCCACCTACCGCAAATGGCTCATAAGTTCCCGATTGAAAACAAAGATGGATGTTCTAAACTATGCACAGGTTTACTATGCACACTAAGCGCTCCACCGATCACACGTCACCAGATACCACCAAGCACGTACAGGGGGACCCGCAGTTGCTCATGTGCACATATACTACCGACTTACAATTGTGCTTTTATTTGCTAACTGCTGGCCAGCTTATTGTATTTCAGCTCGATGGTCTGTAAAAACTGCTATCAGAGGAAAACTGGGTGCTTCGGGCCGGCACTTAAACGCCAATAGGTATTTAACCCTCGTCCGTTTTGGCAATTTTTCAGCGTGTTACGTATTAGGAAGGGGAGTAGAAACCCCCAGTCGTTCGGCCCCTGATAGAGCCATAGAGCTTCACGGAAAAGGAAATTATGAGCGTGCTGCTCGGGACGAGAGAAAGCCGATAGAATCAACTTTTTTAGATTAACGTTATAGGTCAGGTTAATGACCCAAATGCACGGGACATCTGGTCCTGCTATAATTTCTTCAAGTTAGCTTTAATAATTTATCCCGTACCGCCGATATCTTTCGGGCGCTTAGAGGTAAAAAATACATTTAACATAAAAATACGACTATGTATTCCAGACTAGACGAAATGTTTTTTTTTTCCTAGACGTTTCACAATTTGTTAATCGTCTAGACGTTTAACAAATCAATTACACAACTGATAATTTTCTCTCTTTGCACGTGAAGCAATTGTAAACAGTTAAACACTGTCTACGGTACGGGATATTGGAGGTTTGCTTGCTCCTGACTTCCAATTTTGCATTTGTTCTAATCAAAGATGATGTAGCAAAGAATTTCGGGTAGGTCGGGTCTCGCCAGGTCATCAAGAAAGCGTCCCGCCGGCTATTTATAGGAACTGGAGTGCAAAACTGGAGCAGAAACTAGCGCCGGAACTAGTAACCGGGGCCCTGTTCGGTGGCTGTTTTTATATCAGCGTGCTGTCGGTTTTTCCCATATAAGGAAGTTATTGCTGGCGCTTCTTGGCCTCTCATTGGTCTAACGAATAGACCACTTGAATTCGACCAATGAGGAGCCAAGAAGTAGCAGCATGCTCGCAGCCTGCTGATAAATAAACGGGGGGCGAAAAGAGCTCGGCACGACCATCGTTAGGATGGCAGGTCGAGTGAATGCAATAAGCGGTTCCAGGTTTCAGAAGGAGTGGGGCAGGAAATAGTGCTAAAAACAATGTTTTGCCGATACAACCATAAAAAGATGATTCAATTAGGAGATATTTTCATCAATTTGAAGCCTTTCAAACGACGGTTTCAATAAGCCTACAATCAATTCCTAATTCACTTTCAATGGTGTCACAGGCCAAGAATACTCTGAAATATGTCTGAAATAAGAAAATGTCCTCTCCGTGGCCGAGTGGATAAAAGCGCCGGAATTCGACGCTTAGCCGGAAGTGAGAGCCCGGTTCAAGCCCCGGTGCGGGCGGCCACATTTAGCTCCTACGTGTAATGGCGTGCGCGTCTGTGGCAGGGGCCGCACAGAAGCCAGGTAACGTGAGTGAGCGGAGGGGACCATGTCCAGTCGTGAGGGCACGTTTAACGTTCGGATAAAATTCTGCCATACAACTGGAATTGCGCGATCGGGTGGTGGGGTCAGGGTCAGCACAACAAGCTATGCTTAGTGCGGGCTCTGATTCCTCAAATCCGCCCATTCAGCCATTCGGACTAAATTTATATATATAAAAAAATACTAGTATGTACCGAAGCAACCGCGGGTCCCAGTACAGTAGCAGCCGCGTGTCTCTGTACCTCCGCCGTATCCGCCGCGCTGGCCGGAGCTGTAGGGCGCCGAGCGGGCCGTCTGGCCGTAGCCGCCCTTCATCGGACCGCCGCCCTGGCCACCGCCGTAGCCGCCCCCGTATCCGCCGCCCTGGCCGCCCCCGTATCCGCCGCCCTGGCCACCGCCGTATCCGCCGCCCTGGCCACCGCCGTATCCGCCGCCGCCCTGGCCGCCCCAGCCGCCGCCGCCTGAAATACACGGCCAGAAAACGTGTGCAATGTCAAAGAAGTCGCTCAAAGCCATGTGAAGTGATCATATGTAAACGCGAATTTCAAAGAAGCAGACAAAAAAAAAAAACATTGGTTGCATTCTTGGAGCTAGCAAAAAAAAAAAAAAAAAACGAAAAAACAGCTCAGTAATGATGACCCGGAAAGCCGAGAATGTTTTTGAGTAGTGTTTTCGTTTTGTGACTCGGCGACTTCCCTCGGCACACGGGAGCAGGCTCTTCCACTCACCGCCGCCGTAGTTATCGAAGCCGCCGCCGCCGCCGTAGCCACCACCGCCGTAGCCGCCGCCACCTCCGTAGCCGCCGCCGCCGTATCCGCCGCCGCCCTGGCCGTAGCCGCCGCCCCACTGGCCGCCGGGGCTGTCCCACGGCCCGCTCTGGCCCCAGCCGCCGCCACCGCGACCGCCGCCGCGGCCGCCCTCGCCCCAGCCGCCGCCGCCGCGGCCGCCCCGGAATCCGCCGCCGCCGCGACCACCGCGGCCGCCGCTGCCTAGCTCCGCCATCTCGGCCTTGCTGAGAGCCTTCTTCACGTCCACAGACTTGCCACAGACCTCGTGGCCCTTTTGCACTGCATTGGCGAGAGAAGAGGAAATGTCAACACAATGAAAGGATGAAACAAAGAAAAAACAATAATAATAATAACAATGCAAGCACACCTCCTCAGTCTGATCTGAGCCTACCGCGGACACCAATTCATTGTTTGACTTACATACGATCTTGTCGACCGAGTCGTAGTCCTGGAACTCGATGAAGGCAAAGCCGCGCATCTTGCCGGTATTCTTGTCAATGGGCATGTTCACGGAAACGATATCGCCAAAACTCTGTGGGAGTTCAGAAGATACAAGTTAATATTGCCAGCAATTTTAATCACTTCAAAATCACATCGATTGATGAACACTGGTATAATAGTTCCCTCCATTAGAGAAACCGTCACAAACAAATGGAGCGTGCACTCCGCGAGGTTCGCCCGTCCGGCAGACTCACCCCGAAGTAGGCCTGCAGGTCGCTCTCCTGCACCTCGTCCTTGATGCCGCCGATGAAGATTTTCTTGACGGTGACGTTGTTCTCCATTCGGCCCGAGTCGTCGCGCGGGATGGCCCGCTTGGCCTCCACCTCCCGGCCGTCGATCACGTGCGGCCGGTTGGCCATCGCGTCATCCACCATCCCGGGCTTGGTGTACGTGACGAACCCAAAGCCGCGCGACCTGGCCACACCGCGCCACCGTCAGCCCAGGCCGGCCCATACCTACCAACTGGGCCGTTATAATGACGGCAGACAAGCACCTCTGATGAAAGTATACAAATATAGGTTCTTTGATTCAACAGGAGCAACATTATTTAACTTACTCTTACTACTGACAACCACTAAATAGACAGCTGGTGGCATTATTCCTGTCAAATACCAGTTTTCTAAAAATACTTGTGCACCACTACCGTTGCACACGTCCGTTTCGGGGAGCTCACCGTTTGGTCTTCGGGTCCTTCATCACGATAACGTCCACGATTTCGCCCCATTGCTCGTAGAAGGCCTTGAGGCCATCGTCCGTTGTCCGGTAGTCCAGACCACCGATGAACAGCTTCCGGTGCTGCTCGAACGGGTTGCTAACACCCTGCCAAGGAACAGGCAATCTCCATTATATCACCTAACCGTAAGTCGTATCAAAATCTGACATTAATTGGCTTCAAGCGCAGGTACCAATCACTCCAGAGCTCTGTTCGGTCGCTGTTTTTATATCAGCGTGCTGTCGGTTTTCCCCATATAAGGAAGTTATTGCTGACGCTTCTTCGCCTCTCATTGGTCTAACGAATAGACCACTTGAATTCGACCAATGAGGAGCCAAAAAGTAGCAGCATGCTCGCAGCCTGCTGATAAATAAACCGGAGGCGAACAGAGTTCAGGACACTTCAGGGAACTTATCAACATCTAGAGCGCTCAGAAAGTTGCTTTGTATTGTAAGGTGTAAAGTCAGAGGTGCTAAACAAGCCGAGTATGGGTCATCATAGCTTCCAGGAGCTTCTATGCTTCTATGTTGGGAATTACCATTTGGTGTAATGTAGTCCTTCAGTAAGCATCACAGTTCTGTGTAAGCATGCCGCTGGACATGCAGTGATGGGATATCACTTCATTCAACGGTGCTTGAGCCTTGAACATTGCACATTAACATGACTCACGACTTCAACGGAGATGGATGAAACACATTGATGGAAGGACTGGACTGAACAATGCACAGTGGCCCTTTTTCAGAATTAGCACGCATAAATTCAAAATATTTTTTCTCTTCTTTTGTGTATCTTTTCTCTTCTCTTCTTTTTGTGTATGTCTCGTCTTTTGTGTCGTATTATACATCGTTCGAATCGCCGATCTCTTCTGACCACATCCACCAAAGGGCATCGCGCCATTTTGCGCCATTTTGCTTCTACGGTGGATAACTTGAGTCAGTTCAGTCCGCGAGAGGCTGTGGCTCCTACGACTAAGCTCATTGACCTAGCTCGAAGCTGGTATCACCTGGTGTGCGCCTAAATGTGGCTTGACTTTTGCCATAGGATGTGCTAAGAAATGTCATGCATAACGCTGTGCCCAAGAAAAACTGTCCGATTTCTTGTCGCGTTTGATGTCCAAGCCGCACAAGTCCCGTGGCCGGGTTAAGATCGAACGTCAAAAGCGTTATGTTCTTGTATTGTTCGCGCCGCGCTGATCTTAGCTGCTGCCCGGCCGGGGTCGACTAACGGTGGCTGGCAACAGCTGTAGATGCGGTCACGTGACGCCCTGGGGCGTCCTGGCGGTCAGTGCAGCGCGGTCGGCTGGCGGGCTCGCCATACAGTTCTCTATATACCGTGGCCACACTTGCGTTCGGAGCGGCCTGCCGGCGGGCGAGCCGTGCGAACGTGCGCCAAATCTTGGGCCGAGCGGCCTGCCGCTGTTGGGCCGAATCTCCTTGGGCAGTTCGTTTCTTTTTTTCTTCTCTTTGCATTGGCAGGGAACACGTCCTTGATCACGTGGTGATGTCTTGCACCACTTTCAGGTAATGTGGAAATTAATGCGTGCTAATTCTGAAAAAGGGCCACTGTGCAACGGAGAAAGGTTAGCTGCCTTGGACCTCTATTCAGTACAGGGTACACTGCTGCGGACTGACCTGATCCAGTACTGGAAAATCCTAAATAACCACTCCTGTATCAATCCAAGAGACATTTTCCAGAGGCCTTGATATCGCAGTGGTACCAGGGGTCACGGATGCAAGGTATTTCCCCTATCCACCAGAATTGACACTCAGTATCGGCGGAACACCTTCAATTAAGGGGGGACACTGCCGACTTTTGATCCCATTCTTTCCATGCAACGCCCATGATAGGGCTAATGTTAAAATGCCGAAATCAAAGGGGGGCACGGTGCCCCGGGTGCCCTCCCCGTTCCACCGCCTATGCCGACACTCGCAAATGCTAATTTCTGTTCTCTGTATTCACATATGGAATACATATATGAATAAATTCGAAGGTACATTTTAACACAGGGGAGCAATGCCGCTTCAACTCAACCCTATTGGCCGTAGTGTCTAACGGTGGCGGCCATATTGCGCAGACCAGGAACCGGCCGCCGCATGTGTTGAGGAATAGGGAATTCGGGACCTCGATTTACGTTTGCCGCCGCCGCATCCGTTACGTTCAAGTTACGTAGATACGGAACCCGGCATCTTCCGCGAAATTGAGTGGGGAACACTATTGGATCTTCAGAATTCCTCAAATTCACTCGCTGGACCATCGTCTTTCTACATTTGGCCTGGCCGAGAGGGTTGATTGAACCCACCTCGCTAGTGCGCCGCTAATTCAACAAAAATTTAGCGGTTAAGTGGTCGTATGCGGCAGAGTACGATGCAGAGTGACTGGTAGGAATCCGCTTTAACCCGCGCCCTGCTGGGGGGGGGGGTGTTTGAACACCCCCCTTGTGGTTTTTCGCGAATATCTCAAAAACGGCGGCGCGGAGCGCCGCCGTTTTTGGTACACCTTATCATACATCAATTCCACACATGTTGTGAAAATTTCAGACCAAGGTCATTCAAGGTCAGGTCACCAGGTCACTTGAAGTGACCTCACCTCATAAAAAGTTTCAATGTCTGTCATAGCTACACCGAGTGACCGATCGCTTTGAAACTTTCAGCGATTGCTAAGAGCAATAGCATGTACAAAATGTATATCTCAGAATTTTGATATCGATGACCTAAGGTCAGGTCAATTTTGTGACCTCCCCATTATAAGTCAATGGGAGAAAATTGAAATGCGCCTCTTTTGGATAAAAGACATTATAAACACTCCCAAACACCGAATTACAAGTGGTTTAGACACACTGAACATGAAAATGGTGTCCGTGACTCTTGTTTATGCCCTGAGGTCATCTTAGGTCACGAATGGTATCTAACAGTTTTTCGCAAATAACTTTTGATAGAGGCATGCTAGAGCGATGAAAACGCCTTAGATGTGTTCAGCTCGACGATACGGATCGACTGATATGCAACATGACCCTTTCCGGTCAGGTCATGACCTTGACCTGAGGTCAAATTTTCAAGTTGACCTTTCAAGGTCAAGTTATAGTTCATTCGATGCGTCTCGACGAGAGGAACACGATGCCGGTGAAAGTAAGCTCGTACAAGGCTTGGGTCAAAAGTTATTGCGGAAAAACTATTTCCGAAAAAATCGGCTATTTTTGCAGTTTTTGCCCCCTGCAGGCAAAACCGTTGACGTTAGGTCAAATATGAGAGAATTACTCAGAAAGGGCGTTAATAGGGCTATCGAATGCGCTTTTCCGCGGCGCTGTAGCTCTATTGGTTCCCGAGTTATGCGTTGGCTTCTAGGAAATTTTCGACATTCGACCTGGAAATCGGCGAAATTTTGCCTTCAATGACCTCTGGTGACCTGACCTTTGACCTGACCAAAAAATTGACCGAAGTGATTTCGTCATTATTTTTGACGCTCTTTCGAACGCCGCCTTCCGCGTATCGCTACGTGGCCCAGGAGCCGAGTTACAAGGGGGGGGGGGGTGTTCAAACACCCCTCCCCCAGCAGGGCGTGGAAATCCAGGACCCCCAGCCGGGCGCGGGTTAAAGGTTTCAGGTCAACCGGTGACATCTGAGGTCAGGTCAAGTGACCTAAGGCACGGGTTGTTTTTGTAAATAACTTCGTCAAAAATGGCCGTAGAGCCGCGATTTGGGCATCATCGTGTTCACCTAGTTCAGGCGCATGGAGTGATATACTTATTGTTCGGATGAGGTCAATTTAAGGCATTGACCTCGTGACAAGGTCAGGTCAGAGCTCTGTCACAAAGCTGGTCGAGTAAGGTCATGTTGCATATCATTCGATTAGGCAGGTCTTTTTTCTGAGTCCATTTGTGGCTTTTGCTAACTATATTTGATCGTGAATTATTGAAGAAAAGTTTATGACCCTTGTGACGTCACAAATGACGTCACGCAAGGGCAACAATGCAAATGTGAAGCATCGAACCTTGCAAGGAGTGCATGAAATCACGATTCTATATGCTTGATAGTTTCATATCATTTCCGGCGCGAAAATAGCAATTTCCATGTTTCCCCATTGACTTTTGACCTGCACCCCGTAGGACTATCGGCGGACCCTACCACCCGTCGGGGGGGGGGGGGGGGGCGTTTCGGCCCCCCTAAGATCTCGGAAATTTACCGGCCGATTTTCAAAATTCAAACGGCGTTCGATAGCCCCACTGGGGAACTACCTTGTGACGAACTTTCATTGACCTAGGTCAAACCGATGACGTCAAAGGCCAAGTCAAAGGTAGGATTTTCACCATGCACAGGCATTTCAAGAAATGTGCTGTGAAATCGAGTAAATTTGTAAGTTATTGAAAACCATCGATAATATATTGTTCGTCAAACACATACTTTGCTATCTGAGGTCATCGACACCAGGTCAGGTCACAGAGGTCAGGTCACTGGGGGTCACAATATGAAAGTGTTGCGTGATACATGTTTTATGGTCGATTTTACATGACAAATGCGATTAGTGGGTCAGGCAGCCCTTGGGACCAGCTTAGGTCACGTTTTGGTGAAGATCAGGTCAAGGTCAGGTCAAAATAGGTCAAAGTTCAAAGTTGATATTTTTGCATAAAATGGGTATAGATTCGATGCAGCTCGTCACGGGGAGTCTAATGGTGGTCTTTGTTTTGCCCTAAGTGGTCTCGAATTGCCAATAATTGAGTTCGAAAATTTGATATCATTTTTGAAGTTGTTTCGCTATAACTTGGCCAAAAAACAAGACATTGATCTGAAATTTGGTATGTAGATAGAAGATGGTGGGTACTATCACATATATTTAGTTTTTTTCTTAACTCAAAAAACTTTTTGGATATTTTGGCAAAAATATCCAAAAAATGCTTTTTTGATTTTTGGGTCAATTTTTCTGTATCTTCAAAGTTGTAGGCCTGACAGCTCTTCTCTCGAAAGTCTTTTTCCGGTCGAAAACGCCAGAACATTTATGTCATTACTCATTTGTGGCCAACTTAACATAGCCTCTGGAAAAATTTTTGGTCACAATGTGTAAATTGATACCATTATGAGCAAACGTCCCCCCCTGTCCTTTTCAGTCGATATCACCTAAACGGGTGGAGATATTGCCACCAAACTTTCAGGACCCCTCCACTCCATTCTGCGTAAGATGCCGGGTTCTGGGTCTACATAGCTTGAACGTAACAGATGCGTCGTCGGCCACAAACGTAAATCAAGGTCCCAAATTCCCTAATCCCCAACACAGGCGGCGGCCCCTTCCTGTACTGCACAACATGGCGGCACCGTTGGACACCATCTGGCGGCCGATGAGCCTTCCACATTAAGAGTTCAGTGATTTTAACATTAGCGCCAGATATGTCACAGTTGCGTCATAACTGTCACATTTACTCAACTTGACATTTAAAGGCAAACAGAACATGAAACAGCCTAAAAAACATCCATAATACATGCAAAAGATCTTCTTAAAACCAGACTTTTGTATTTCCAAGCATTACACCCGCTACCGGCATATGTGGTGCAGAGGGAAGGCCCCCGGTCAGGACCGAGGGGTTCCAGTAATCTTGATCTGTGTTCACCACAAAATCAACAGAAAACTCTCACTTACCGGCATACTTCAGATTGTGTAGGAAGATTCGTGTACGCTGGATGTAAAAAGCATAAAAATCTAAATCTTTTTGGGCGAAGCACGCACTGCAACCAACCGATCACCCAATACTTGCGCACGCTTCCGGAAAGCGCAAACTTCCGACAGACGCAGATCGAAAATCTTGCTTCTAAAACAGCCTAGTATGAATACTTTTTTATGCTTATTTTTTCAATTGTATCATTTTATCACTCGCATTTGTGACCCATAAATTAGTATGAACATAAAATAGGACTACAATATAAAAGAAAACCATACAAAATCATTGCTAATCCAATTCTGCCTTCTACTTATAAGTGAAAAATGTACTAGTTTAAGTATCGACTTTTCAACTTATTAAGTAATCTTTGCAAATCAAACACATATTTTGATCAAATTTATTTCGAGCAAAAAAATGATTCAAATTTTTTATTCAAATTTATACAATTAGTCAAAATAGAAAAAAATAAATCGAGGGTTATCAAAAAGCTACTAGATTTGAAGCAACAAATCGTTTCTCGTTTCCCGCTTCCGAGGGATTGTGGCGCGGGTACCGGTGTTTTGTGTAAAGAAATTTGGTGAGGACATATCGGATGAGGGTTGATGTCACGTATCATGTACATTTTGATCCATAAGCTGCATTTCTCATGTGAACTCTCTTTCATTTGCTTATAAGTGCCATTTCGTTTTGCGGCCATTGAGGGCAAGTCGTGTGCATTTGAACATGAATTGGAATGGCAATTGGCAACGTTCTGGAATCATAGCTTGAATGTATGAATTTAGTTGACAATACTTATTTTGAGTACATATTTCTTTTAAATTTATGATAATTTAGTTATAGTTTTCAGGGACTGAGCCCTGGTGCACAAATTCTCGGAGGCTGGCGGTTGGGAGCTTCAGAGGCGGTTGGTCTGAATCCGCTGCTCGAGATTCGGTTGTCTAGAATATGCTACTATCAGCAGCGTATTCATCACATGTCTGTATCAGCAGCAGCTTCGAGCTAATACCGCATATAGGCGCAGTGGAGACTTAGTGTCATGCTCTTGGTACTGGTCTGGTCTCAGTCCTTGGGGAGGGAGGCAGTGAAGTTGACTGCTGCAGTGTTTTTTGTTTGCATCAGAGTATGACGTTAACGTGTTTCTCATGCTAAGTACAGCTGATGGTGTCTCCTTGACTGTGACCCACCGGTGTAAGGCCTGATAGGTGCTCATTGGCTATCAGTCTCAGTAGGCGGAACTATGGTCAAGCGTACCCATTTTCGGGAACGCATTTTCGTTCCCATGTTTGGGAACGATAAACCCAAATATGGGAACGCCATCTAGGAATTATTTCAAACAAGAAAAAGAACCGTTAAATGACGTCCAAAAAATATAAAACGATCGTGAACCGCCTGATATTTGTCTCAATATTGTTGGGAAAGAGTTTGATATTGTAAGGCCCATCGTAGTTTCAAATCGTTCCCCTATTTCTAAAGCAGTCCATCATCCGGGCCGCGAACCCAAATTTGGGAACGCTCTCGTACACTGGCGCTGCAAGCGTTCCTTATTATGGGAACGGCGTACCCAAAATTGGGAACGATTTCACCGACGCCTTTCAGGGGCTCTTTTCATTAACAAGCATCATGTCCAACGCCGCAAATTATTGTTAAGCAACAATCATCAGATGACCTTTCCGGCAAGACCGTCGCATGTTTCGCCCGGTCTTCTGCGCTTTTATTCCCGTCGATCTCGCAGCGGGCACGCCCCCCTCTGCAGGATTACGTAATTCACAACGCTCAGCGATGTTCAACAAGGTCTTCCATACCTATATCCACCGTCCGCGCCGAGGGTGAAGACATGTCAAGCACCTGTCTGTTTATCACCGATAGTTGACGAGCACAAGGAAGTATCCAAAAATGGGAACGCTGAATATGTTACACCCTCAAAACACCTAGTCCCATGGAAAATCTAGTTTTTTCCTTTCTTAAAGGAAATAGTTCACTTTCACGAAATTATTTTTTTTTGCAATGGATTTATGATTTTTTATGTTCAAAATGATCAGCAAAGAAAATAAAACCTATTTATAACAAAAGATTATTTTCTATATTTTGATAATAAGAAGAACTTTTCAGTTTCTGTAAGGCACAGGCGATCCAGTATGAAAAGAGCATGGGTCCCGAAAATTCTTCAGAAACTAGAGAAATGATCGCGGCCACCGGCATTTGGGCGATCTGCTGCTGCTGAATGTCCTTATTGATCAGTACGAGAATTTCTCTAGAGTTCTCGTAGATAATTTCTCTAGTTTCTGAAGAATTTTCGGTACCCATGCTCGTTTCATACTGGATGCGAATATATGCAAGGCACACATCCTCAACGCAAGACACATTTTTCGGGACGAGAAATAGAATATATTTGCCTAGGGTGATCGTTGGGCTGTAAAAGCTCCTGATTTATGCTCGTCTCAGCCCAGGCTACGGAACTGCTATTCCAGTTCAAAACCCATGTTAAAAAGTGAACTATTTCCTTTAATGAGTGTAAGTGGCAAAAGGCCTGGTAGGATGGGCACGAGGAATGATCGAAATCAGCATAAAAATTATAAATAAGCCACACAGAGCGACCTATATAAGAGAAATTCCCCCAAAACGATCATGCTTAGAAACACGGAAGACAAAAACCACGCTCATGACGCTCCTTATAAAACAATGCTAAACAGCTAGCATCCAAATAAAATATGTCTTTCCGGGCTGATAAAATACAGCTGAATAATTTTAAACCACTGAAACTGAGTTTACAACAGTAGTTCGGTAAAATCACTGACGTTCCACGCGGTCGTGCGCCCCGAGACCAAAAGTCAACAATATTACCTCGGGACTGTCCGCGTGTTCGCTTGCATATGTCAGCATCTGGTGTCGCTAGTATGAAACTTCATAACCAGGCGAAAATTATTATACTTGACCTCAAAATGTAAAAAACGCTTCATTTTCCTTTAAATTGCATGTTAAATGTAGTATAACCCATGTTTTCACCATTCCGTCATTTAAAAAAATTCATTAAAAATATCATTCGACGGTCAATTTCCTTGTTCAACGGTCAGATTAAAGATAATTTTATAGAGATTCAGTAGATACTTAAATTAGCGTGCACTTTTTTGAGACGTGATGCACTAATGAGTTTTAGTGGGCGAACGGCCGAAAAATTACCTTCCGTTCCCGTAAATGGGAACGCCCGTTCCCATATTTGGGAACTCCGTTCCCAAAAATGGGAACGTTCCTATATTTGGGTACTCATGACCATAGTTCCACCTACTGGTCTGGTCTGGTGGCATAACTAGAGAGCCAAAATGTTTTGTCCTCAGCGCTGTGTGCTGATCGATCCTGTCACTAGAGGTAGAGGATTCTCATAATGCTAAGGGTGCTTTTCCTGCACCTGACAAGTGGGACCTTCAAATTTTTGTGTTTTAAAACACATTTAGGTAGGTTTCCCAACATCATCACTGTTTTATGTGAAGTAGTCTGTGTCTAATATGAAATTTAAGCAATTGCTCTAACATTATGTGGTAACCTTTGAATTTTAGGCACCCCAAAGCTGCTATATCTCCCCCTCCCCCTCTTGGTTCCAAGAACACATTTTGTCATACGTAGGCTGGTTTAACAGATACTTTATGTATCTGGCAAATTATGGGGCTTTCTGTTGTTGAATTTACCAAAATTTACCTTGAGTCGCTTCCAGTACCCAGAACTTGACCAACAAGTAATTAGACTGGAAGTAACACTTGGTGGTCGATGCATCCTTTTATGGTGGTATTCCATCCTGCTGTGATAATTTCACCCCTCGTCCTCGCAATCTGTAACCCACCCCTTATCAAATGTATCGCTGGGTGACTCTGAAGGACTGTTTTCATGGCGCTGGGGTCCAGGGGGTCGCTGCTCCCCCGTCTCGCCCTAATCGTCACAGTGCTGGCCCCACTGCCGATTCTCGGTTAAGGAGCACTATGGGAGTAGGTATTTGGTGAGCTGGAGATTTGATGGATGCGTAGCAGACTGCGAGTCAAGTCGGGATGTTTACTGTTTGCCCGATGACCCGTTTAATGTCGACTGGACTTAATGGCCTATGATTGTTGGAGAAGATGGGCGCAAAATGACCCCAGCAGACCAGAGGGGTGTTCACGGACACCGCAAACTGCTGAGTGCGGTGTGTGCAGCAGGCGTGGGGGTAGGGGATGGGTAGGCGTTTCTGACGTGACTGCGTGCGGTGGATGGTCCGCTGTGGCCAGTCCCGACCGGCCACAGCGGTCGCTGTGTGCGGTGACGGAAGGCTGACGCAGTGGGCGGAGCTTGGAGGCTGTGTACGGTCCGGCCGCACACAGGGCCCGTGAAGAGCCCTCAGCAGTCTGTGCGCCCTAAAGCTCTAATAAACAAACGATTGTTGGAGAGGGCGGTCCTGTGTTCGGGACTGGGGTCCGAGTAGGGCAAAATACGAATGCAATTAACATCATTTAGTGCTGCTGTTTCTAACATGACACTAACAATCCAAATGATGGTACGACAGCGGTCCTTACGGGCCATTCGGCGATATTATCATGATGGGCGAGGGAGGATGATATAATGTGAGTTGTTCGTGCGGATCCTCACTTACCTATATAATAGGCGAATATCTGGGTGTACAAAGATTGCCCTACAAAGATTTGCGCTCAAACGTATGTGAACAAATTTTGGTGATCCTTTACAGACAAAGGCTATTGATCAGATCAAAAGTACCTATCTCAACATGAGTGGGGAAATATGTTGCTGATTTGGCTTTTGATGAGCTGATTTGTGATTTTTATTTGAAATGCATTTATGCAAAATACGAATGCAATTAACATCATTTAGTGCTGCTGTTTCTAACATCCCACTAACAATCCAAATGATGGTACGACAGTCAGCGCTGCTATGTGACCGGCTTGTTGCTCCGTTGTTGCAGTGAGGCGGCACACACACACTCACCATGTCTGACGAGGCCAAGGAGCTGAAGGACAAGGCGACGGACGAGGAGGGAGCCGAGGAGGAGGAGGAGTACTCGGTCGAGAAGGTGCTCTCCAAACGCATCCGAAACGGAAAGCTCGAGTACCTCCTCAAATGGAAGGGATATTCAGAGTAAGTCGGCGCCGAATCGTGGTAATAGATTTTTAGGGTACGGATGGGATGAGTGGAGGGCTGTTGCTCGGAACAGGAGGCTCGGCTTTGTTGTTTGAGGCGAGATAAAGAGGTGGGATGAGATAGTTCGTTTATTTATAAGTTATCGTTTGACCCT